ATTGAAATTTGAACAACAAACCAAGATACATATAAAAAAATATCTCATGTTATAGATTTAGTTTAAAATTAATTTAAAATATAGTTATAATATGAATTTTTATTTAAATAATATTTTAATGTGATATTTTATAAATAATAAAATAATTTATTTTTATTGAAAATCGTACAAAATAAATAATAGTAATTTTAAACTGAAATCACAGCCAAATAAACAAATATGAACTTCTATAAGTATCTCCTATATAATATCAAGTTACTTGTCATTTTAAAATCTCAATCCAATAAAAAATGCACATAGTATAACATGAAAAATCATATTGTAAAAAATGGGAAAAATATCAAAGATATATTTAAAACAAAAATAATTCATTTGAAATAAAAGGCATTAATTAAAAATATATATATATATATCATTTGATATCATTAATAATAATATATAAAATAATTGGAACAACTATAACACTATCATTTGACATGATTATATCAACAATATTTGTGCACATAGGAAGTGACAACCAGCCGTAAAAGTTCGGGGGCAAAATCGATTTTTTTTTTTTTGTAAAAGATAAAAAATTTTGAAAAATTTAAATGTTTTAGAAAAAATCTCAATAAAATTACATAAAATTTAATATTTTTTAATATAACAAATAAAATTTAAAGACTAAAAATATAAATCAACATACACATAAAATTTTTATGATTTTTTATATTACTAAATAAAAAATTAAGATGGACAAATTACTATAAAATACATAATTTTATTTTATTTTACATTAAAAAATATATATATATTGAGGGGTGGGGGTCAGTTGACCCTCCTAGTCCCCATGTAGTTCCGCCGCTGCACATAGGTGATGATGTTTATGAATATGTATATATATATATCGATTTCGTAGTTGTTATTTTTTAAATGCGTGCGGAATAAATCCTCAGATCGAACAAAATAGTCTGCAAGACACGCTATGTAGATAAATTACACTAGACAGGCTCTGTGTGATAGACTTGATCCAGAAGGCCTTAGTAGAAATTAAAATTGTAATATTGTAATTACAAATCAATTTACCACACCAACTCGACTACTCTTACGGCAATGATGTTGTTAAATCATTTGGTCATCCACTCTTTAGTGGCAATATAGAAACAATGAGTTCATTTTCATGGAAATAATAATAATAATAGTAATAATAATAGTATTACAACACCATCATCAAGATAACAACATTAGGATAATTTAATTCCAATATCCTAAAAGTCATCACACACATATATATATATATATATATATTATTTTTTAGAAACTAAATTGTGTAATGTTTCAATCATATTGAATTGGTATCTCAAGAAATGAATGTGCATGATTCCTCCTCACATTATCACAATATGCTCTTTTCATTACATGACAAAATGAGATTTAAGACACAAATAAGTGACATAAGCCCTTGAACTAAAGTTAATTTACTTGTCATTTGGTTTTGTTTTGATACTTTCCATTAATTTAAGATTTGATTTTTTATAAGGTGAAACATCAAGGGTTCTATTATTATTTTTTTTTGTATTATTTTTTATTTTTTTAATCTTTTAGGTGAATATGAGTTTTATATGGGATGTCATTAATGACAATTTGATGTTGGATATGATGTTATATATATATATATATATAAACTAAGATAAAAATTGAATAGTAAAAAATAAAAATAATTAAAAACACACGAGAAAACATATAGACAACGACGTAATATTTTGAATAAAAAATGTAGTGAATATAATAATTTTGAAGAAAAATAAAATTGCAATGTGGATTGAATAATACAAGTAAACACAACAATAGTTCTTTTATTCACAACACTCGTCACCTCAAAACTGACTTTTAGACATTGATTGTTGTGTTAACTGAATTTTGAGCTTGAGAATTTATATTTATAATATCTCTCCTATCGGCTCAAAAATATATTATTTTCTCATTTTCAATCCTTCGTATACAATAAAATATTTATTTTTTAGCAAATGTAGATCCTACAATACATTATAAAAGCACTTTCAAATTTATACTCATTTATATAAATATTATCATATTAATTTACATCAAGGGAAAAAAAAAAAAATACACATACTTTGTAATACCAACTACTATTAAAATACAATATTAATTAATCTTTCCGTCAAAAGCAAACAATTAATTTAAGAGCGGACATAGAAAATATATTTTTCTCATAACATAAGTTCTTCAAGAATGGTCGCATCCGTTACTCACATGATGGAGTTCGAACTCAATTAGTTCCTAATTATTCATTTGGTTGAGTAAGTTCAACTCCATACGGTAAATGAGTACCTTAGCTTGAATGGCTTGTTAGGAAAACTAACTCGTGTTTTTGTTATATATTTTTAACACTATTTAATTTACAATTTGGATCTTGTTTCTTTTAAAAAATAATTATGTTAATTTATATTTTCTATTCTAAATATTATATTTCGCTAAAATAAACCAAAATATCAAAATAAAAGCAAAATACAACGATTACACCCTTATTTTGTTATTCTTCGCTATAACAATACACTAGTTGCTATTAGGGGATCAATCCAAGAATTCTAAAATCAAAATCATTATTCAAAATTAGGTCTTTTTACATGAAGATTGATCTTTTCTACAATCTCAAGGCAATGAAAAGAATCTATATAAACACGCTAGAGCCAAATTTGCATATATAGGTCGATCACTATATTTATGTTCTTAAATTCATTTCTCGCGACTTCAACAATTCGAAAGCATACCATATCACTTGGGATCCTTTTCCACTAATTCTTGCACATATAAATACCTTGTGTGTTGATTCTATGTTCCTTAGGCTATGTTCTTTTAGGGTTTGATTTCAGTTCTTTTTTTTTTTTTAATTATGTAATATTTTGAAAATGAGTTTTTATTTAATTTTTTTATTTAAATAGTATTTCGATATAATATTATGTAAGGTTAAATAATATATATATATTTTTATCAAGAACCGTATAAATTGAATAGGGCTCTTGCCAACATAAGTATTGAGTTAAAAATCTTTATTTCTTTATTATGTTAGCTTAATTAAGAGAAATTTATTTTCATTTAAGATCTAAGTAAATATATATATATATATAATTGAGTATAATTTTTGTAGAAGAAAGAAATTATTCCTGAATTGAGGGTAATAGCAAACAAATTACTTCACTCAAGTAAGCTATACTAAAAAAAGATTAATGCACTGGTTAGATAATAAAAAATTAAAAAAAAAATTGAAAGTTTTGGGATTTTAAAAAATTTAAAATGTTGATATGATATTTAAAAAAATAAAAAAAATAAAAAATTGAAATCATGCTTAAAATTTCAAAATTACTATCTAAACTCGAGTGAAAATAGTAGAGGAATTTGCTATAGCTAGACACTTAATGTGTTTGTTTGGGGATTTGAATTTTGGATTTGATATTTAAATAATAAAAATTTTGAATTAAAATATATAATTGTATAATGTTATATAAGTAACTGTGATATTTTAAATAAAATTATTTTTTATTAGAATATAAAAAATTAAAACTAAATATTTGATTTGATTTTTAAGAAAAAAATTTAATGAATAAAAATAGTTTGGTAAAATTCTACTCCCTCCGTCACAATACAAAAACAATAATTTTATTTCCATAAATAACCATATCACTATAAAATTACCCTTACTCTTTCATTATTATTACACAATTGTCACTGCCTTTTACACTAATACATTCACAATGACAAAAATATCTTTTACCTATATTTTTTACTCACTATCAATATTCCTTAAATATCGTATTAACACAATTAAGACTATAGTTCCGGAAGGGAGGGAGTATAAAAGATAAGACCCTACATTTTATTTAAGGGTTAATTCTCCTAAAATCCCCAATTTCTAAATCATTTTCCTTATCGGTCTCTATTCATATAATTTTTCCATTTAGCTTCCTATTTATTCCATATCATTCCCTGTTTGTAATTATTACAAATTTTTACCCATTTTACCCTTTAAATAACTTTTTATTCATATTTTTATCCACTAAATATAATCCAAAACCCTTAGGTAAATAATATTTAATTATATTATTTGTTTATCTATGGAACAAATCTATTTATTTTATATTAATAAATTTTTGAATATATAATTTATTTACTTATAGCTCAATAATTTTTGCAGAATTTGTTACAATACCTTTAATTTTTATAATAGAAAAATATTTTTTCAAATAAAAATTCATTATTTTCAATCTGTTTATTATATTACTCATACTTATATTTAATTGAAATCAATATTTTTCTTATAAATATTTTATATAATTATAATGTAAGAGTTATGAATACTTTTGTATTATATATTTTATTATTATTATTATTATTTTTTGTCAATTATTATTTTTGTTATTGTAATCTTTTATTTTATATTTAAATTAATACAAAGTAGAAATAAACTATAAAAATTACAGTGTAGTTGAAAATAAAAAGAAAAAATGATAAAGAAATTAAACGAAGGTACTATAGGTTTTTACATGAATGGAGAGTAAAAAAAAATAAATTTATAAAAATAGAGAGTAAAGAAGATAAAATTAATATATAAAGAGTAAATAAAAATACGAACATAGAATTAAGAACATAGTGAAAGTTGCCATTTATTTAATACTAAGAAAGTTGATGGAATGAAACGTGACAAAAAATTATGGTGAAAATATAGAGTACATAAAAACAGAACAGCTGTGCAGATCTGTCTCCTCCCCGACACGACACCAAATTTGTTCTCCAGAAATTCTTGCAACTTCCAAACTTTTATTTATTTATTTTATTATTTTTTTATATCTCACTTTCCCATAAATCCCTTTCCTCTTCACCACCTGCTCTCCAAATATAAAAATAATTTAAAATAATAATAATCTGAATACCAAACAATGCATGCTTTGCTTTGCTTTGCTTTCTTTCTCTGACATATTCCACCTTTTACACACCATTTCCCTTTTTATGATCATTTCATTCCTTTCATTATTCTCAACAACATATCGAAATTCGATCGATGATTCATTTTTCAACAAATTACCAAAAAAAAAAAAAGAAAATTGATTTCTGTTCATCATCTGATTTTTGAATTTCATCGTCTGATTTTGAAAAAAAAATAATAATTTTAGGGTTTTGTTGTATGTAATAAAATTAAGGATCTGAGAATATGAGAGCGGCGGCGGGATTGGCGGCAATTCAGCACACCCTATCGCCGGAGGCCGCCGGAGTTGTGAATCAGTCGATCGCGGAGGCGGGCCGCCGCAACCACGGCCAGACGACGCCGCTGCACGTGGCGGCGACGCTCCTGGCCTCGCCGTCGGGATTTCTCCGGCAGGCGTGCATCCGATCGCACCCCAATTCGAGCCACCCGCTGCAGTGCCGGGCGCTGGAGCTCTGCTTCAGTGTGGCTCTTGAGCGGCTCGCCACGGCGGCGCAGAACATGCCGGAGCCGCCGGCGGGAGCCGAGCCGCCGCTGTCCAACGCTCTAATGGCCGCCCTCAAGCGCGCGCAGGCCAATCAGCGGCGCGGCTGCCCCGAGCCGCCGCCTCCACAGCCGCCGCCGCAGCTCCTCGCCGTGAAAGTAGAGCTCGATCAGCTCATCATTTCCATACTCGACGACCCCAGCGTGAGCCGCGTGATGAGGGAAGCCGGCTTCTCAAGCCCAGCCGTTAAAGCCACTGTCGAACAATTATCCATCGCCGGCAAGCCGTCCAACGCCAACACGACGTCGTTTTTGCTGAATCACTGTGCGGCCAATACGACGCCGTTTTGGCTGCAGAAACGCAATTTAAAGCTGGATGAAGAACTAGAAAGGGTTCTCGAAATCATGTCGAGAGCCAAAAAAAGAAATCCAATTCTCGTCGGCAGTTCCGACCAATCCGAGGCTGTCGTGAAATCCCTCATCAAAAGGATCGAAAACAAGGAATTGGGGATTTTCCAGAATGCAAAGGTTATTACAATTGGGAAATGTTCTTACAAAGAATTAGGTACCAAAATTGAGGACATGATCAACAATGGAGGGACAGTTGTTCTTGATTTAGGGGATTTAAAGTGGCTGGTGGATCCGCCGGAGATTCAATCTCCGGCGGCGGCCGAGCTTTCGAAACTACTAGCAAAATTCTCCGGCATCGGCGCCGGCGAAGATAACAGCCTGTGGTTCATTGGCATTGCAAGCAGTGAGACTTACTTGAGGTGCCAAGTCTACCATTCCTCCATGGAAACTGATTGGGATCTTCAGGCTGTTCCGATGTCGTCTCGATGGCCGCTTTCCGGGATGTTTCCGAGGTATTTTCATGTCGGAATTCATCGACACTAAAGTAGAACAAACAAACATTCTGATCATAGAGTTTAACAAATTTTCCGTGCTTGTTCGACAGAGTTAGTATGGATCCTCCGACGACGGCGTTAGGACAATCGTGGCATATGTTGTCTGATTTCGGGCGAAATATCGAGCTTTGCTCTCAATGTCGCGAGGATTACGAAAAAGATCTCGCGAAGCTGATGGCCGTCGAGAATTCGTTTTGTGAAGCGACGCAATCGACTTTGCCCCCGTGGATGCAGGATACCAAGCCGAAGAATGATCATCGATCACAAGTACGGACTTTTTTTCGATTTTGATTCGATGTTTTAAGTCGACAAAAATCGAATCTTTTTGTATGATTTTGGTATGTATTTTATCTTAGAGGAACGATGGCGCGGTTCTTTCGAAGAAGAAGGATCAGGAGCTTCGAAGAAAATGGAAGGATACATGCTTACATCTTCATCCAAACTTTCACCAGAAAGTTCATCGATCTCCTTCGCCGATGATGTTCATGGCAACCTCGTACGATTCGAATTCAATCGCCGGCTTGATGTCATTACAGCCTACATTGCCGGCAATGAAGCCCTTTGGACAACTTAACACTGATCAAACATCCCGAGGAATACTTAGGCGCGATAGCCCGCCCCAAAGTCCCGTAAGGACCGATTTGGTCTTGGGACGAAAAGAAGGCGAAAGATTGTCGAAGAAGGTGACAGAGGACTTACTAGGTTGCATTTGTTCCGATGTTTGGACCAAGTCGAACGATAAGTTAGTCGCCGCTTTCGACATCGATGTTTATAAGAAACTTCTCAAAGACCTTACGGCGTACGCTTGGTGGCAAGCGGAGGCCGCCTCGGCGGTGGCGTCGATAATTTCGAGACGGAAATTAGGTGATAGTAAGCGCCGGGGTGCGGGAACTAGGGGAGATCTATGGTTATTGTTCGTAGGACCCGATAGAGCCGCGAAGAAGAAAATGGCGTCGGTCGTAGGCGAGCATGTGTCCGGGACAAGCCCCATAGTGATAAGCCTCGGCTCGCCGCGGGATGACAAAGAAGTTTGCGCGACCCATCGTGGGAAAACGGTGATCGATCAAATTTCGGAGGTGGTTCAACGAAATCCGTTTTCGGTGATCGTGCTAGATGACGTCGACGAAGCAAATGTTTTTGTGCGTGGAAGTGTCGTACGTGCGATCGAGACGGGTAGGCTTGTGGATTTCTACGGTCGGAGCGTTACTCTCGGGAATGTAGTGTTCATCCTCTTGGGAAATTGGTCGAGAAGTGGTTTCGAAGCTCGATACATAGACGAGGAAAAGCTCGCTGCTTTAGCGAGCCGGAATTGGCAATTAGGGATAGTGGTAAAAGCAAAAAACGCGAAACGTCGTGCGATTTCGCCACATAGCGAAGAAACAAGGCCATTGAAGCCTCGAAAAGAGGTAGGGACATTTACCGTGTCGTTGGATCTCACTTTGGCTCCGAAGGATGATCAGATGGACGGTTGTGATTACAATACGAGCGATATTACTGTTGATCATGACAATGAAGTCGGGCAACAATGCTCATTTACGTCAGTGCCAAGTGAACTTATAGACAATGTGGATGAATTCATCGTGTTCAAGCCAATCGAGACTCGTTTGGCTTTACGGGAGATCAAGAAGAAGATCTCGTCGAAGTTCTCAGTGATTGTAGATGAAAATTTGTCAGTAGAGGTAGAGGATCGAGTTTTGGAGAAGATTTTTTCAGGATTATGGCTCGACCAGATGAGCCTTGATGAATGGATTGATAGCGTTTTGGCGCCAAGTTTGGATCAACTGAAGCCACGACTACATGCGAGAGTCGGGATTGCTCCCGTGGTTCAACTTGTGGTCGAGATCGACCGGCGCGACGGGCCGAGGAAGAGCAAATGCAATGGAGAGTGGTTGCCTAGTATCATCTTGGTATGAGAAGTTGCATTTAGGTATAGTTTTGGGGTGTAAATTTGATATTATTGGGTTTTGTCGGGGTTATATGAAAATATGGAAACTTTGTGATATTTTTATAAAAGTTTTAGGTAAGAATTTGAACATACACCTTTATTTCTTGGTAATATTTTGTCTCTTTTAAACAATGAAATCAAATTTTAGTAAATAGTATGAAAATAAAGTTAATATATATTACATATAAAATAAGTAAGGGCATGAATTTGATCCGGTCAAGTCAACGTAATTTTACCAGATTACGGTGATGACTAATATATATATATATATATATACATATCTCAACATAATTATAATACTAATATATATTATATCATAAACATATGTTATTTTATAACATAATATATGATAAAATATATACAATAAAATATATACAAATATATATTGGTGATCTTTATAGCATATGTTGCTGATCCGGTCAAATTAGCTCTATATTATTTTGGTCAGATCAACATAAAATCAACAGCCAATAAATAATAACAAAAAAAAAGGTAAAATAATTGAATTTGGAAGGTTTTGTCAATCATTTTTTACTCAGTTGTGATTATTTTGTATACTAATATATTCTTTTATATTCTTAGTACATTTATAATTATGTTCTAACTTTTAATTAGAGCTAGCAAAATTAAGCAAGGTTTAAAAATCGGATCTAAACCCAATACAAAAAAATCGTGCCGAAAATTTTCGGACCGTGTTTGGCCTGGAATGCTAAACTGGACTGTGCTGCCCGACTCGATTTATTAAAGTTAATATTTTAAATTTTAATACTTTTATATATATATATATATATTAACTAATAAAATAATAATAATAAAAAATTATAGCTTAATGATAAAGTTTATATATATATTATGACACGAGAATCTGTAGTCGCTACTCTTCGAATGCGCTTTGAGTAAATTCAACTGAAGCTAATACCAGGTAAATTATGTCTGACAAAACAAGTTGTATTAACATGTGTAAATTCAGTTCTTACTTGCATAATTTGAGTAAAATTTTTATTAAATTATTTTCAAATTAAAAGAAAAAATTAAAATGGTATGAAATTTGAAATTAAAAAAAAAAAAAAAAAAAAAGAAGAGTCGATATGTTTGTTTGGATTTTTATTTTATAGGATGTAGGATCTCTTAGTTGTGATTTAAAACGAAATATGATTTAAATTTTGGTTTAAACAGTATTTTTATATGATATTTTATGAGAAAAAATATTGTACTTTTATAAAATTTATATCAGGTGAATATTAATTTTGATTTGAAAACAATTTTAATAATTAGTCATTTTTTTACAAGAAACTGTGAAATAGTAAAGGTGTGTTTACTTGTGAGATTTTGGTTTTGAATTTTAATTTTAAATAGTAAAATTTTGAATTAAAATAGTTGTTTGATGTGATATAAGATGTGATGTTTTGAATATAAAATTAAATTTTAGTATAATAAAATAAATAAAAATTAGATGTTTGATTTGATATTTTTGGAGAAAAAAAAAATTAAAATAGTAAAATCAGGGTAAAACCTGACAAATCATGTTTATGAATTATGATTTTATTGAAAACGAGAAAAATACATAATAATAATAATAATAATAATAATAAAATATAACAGAACCTCGGCGAGTAGAATACTTCAGCAATGGTTTCTGGGACGTTACTTTACCATTTCAAATCCAACTCTAACAATTTTGAATAAAAATACACTCATTTCCGTTTTTTTTTTAAAAAATATATATATATATATATGGTATCAAAATACTATTTAAACAAAACTCAAATTAGCTTTATTTCAAAATACAACCAAACAAATCCGAAGAACCTATAATATGAGCAAAAGTCGACACAATAGAAACAAATAATCACACAATCATCAATGTTCATTTGTCACGCACAATCCTAAATCTATACTAGTATTACCTAAACATTGCTAATAATAAAATTTAGAAAATAGTTTAAATATTTTCCTTTATTTATTTAAAATAAATTCAGCCCGCGATCGATTGACATAGCTGGCCTCAAAAGATGCAGTCGAAAATATATCAACCTCAGCCAGCTAGAACATAAAATTTAAGAGAGTTCAATAATACAAAAACGCAAGTTCTTCAAGGTACCCGATTTCCTGCCACGCCCTCAATCCCGACTCTCATGTGGATATACATAACACAAGTTCGCGTATGTATTGGCAGGATCTGTTTCACGCAGCAGCAGTAGCTTTTTGTTCGATGGATTCGAACACTAGTTCGCCCACTTTCTTGCACCCCACTAGATTCTGTGCAAACGACGAAAATAATAAATCAAATCTAGAGACTTTTACACGTGAAAAAAACTAGCTAGGACAGAAAATAATCGATCAGTCAGGGATTGCGCTGTTTTTACCATCCCGGCAGAGAATATGTCGCCAGTGCGATATCCTCTATCTAGAATGTCCAAGACAGCTGCTTCGATTCGCTCGGCAGCCTTCTCCTCACCCAGCCCGTACTTTAAAAGCATCGCGGCGCTAAGCAACGTTGCCAATGGATTCGCTTTGTCCTGTATATATGTAATATATGTGCTTTGTTGTTGTGCCAGCAATTCATTAATTAAATTTATACGCAAAATTGCTTATAATTCACTTGTAGTTTGGAAAGTCTACACCATGATATAAAAACTTTTACGAGGCTTTTTCATAAATCAACTCTAAAGATTTTATGTAATACTTTTGAAAATATGAGTGAGTCTCGTACAGAGTTTTTAAATTATGAAGAAGAATAGTGCAAATTTTTCGAACCATTTGTGAATTATACGTAATTTTATCTAATTTCTTATATAAATGTACGACCGCATCAAACATACCTGACCGGCAATGTCAGGAGCGGAGCCGTGTATCGGTTCAAATAATCCCGGTCCCTACACAGTAATGTCTCAAGTATTAAGAACATTGAAAGGAATAAGAGTTTCTTCGAGCGGACTAACGTACGTACCGATTCGCCTAGGCTTGCAGATGGTAGCATCCCGATGCTTCCAGTAATCATTGATGCTTCGTCAGAAAGAATATCCCCAAACATATTGTTTGTTACAATCACGTCAAACTGCATAATGATAGGCGAAAATGACATATCATTTATGTATTTCAAGAAGCCAAAAGGGTGGGACAAAATAGATTTAAACCTGTTTAGGATTTCGAACAAGCTGCATAGACGCATTGTCAACATACATGTGTGATAGTTCGATATCGGGATATTCCAAGGCTATGAGCTCTACCCTCTTTCGCCATAGTATAGAAGACTGAATATTATGGCATTTGCATCACATTATATTAGAATTAGCTCAATCCGTTAACAAATAAAACAAAAGAAAATATTGCCTCGATGAAATTACTAGCAGAACAAATTTTATAATCAAAACATTCCGATAGCAAGTAACAAACGAATTATTTTTTACCAGAGATTACATTTGAATCTCTAATTAGCATGCTAAACATAGTAAAATATAAACTCGTCAGTTTGGGATAGCAATTGAAGAAGCTTTCTCACTGGAAGCCAATTGTTTGTGGCAGACCCAAACCAAAACGCAAACGATCGTGAAGTGCAATAAAGTAATATGGATCTTAAGACACTTCTTGCAAATGATACAAACTTGAAGATAAATAATTTGTGATAATATTACCTCTAAAACATTAGCTTTGTCAACGGAACACAATTTCCTCCGTCGTTTTCTAGCAGTTTCAAATGCAACACGAGCAATGCGATCAATCTGAAAGAAAAAGTAAAGTGAAAGGAATTTATATCATATGAACCAAGTGGATATTAATATAAACATTCTGAATAAAAACATGATATAATAATTAGTTGACAAGCTTTATGTATTTTGATTATTAAAACTACGGCACCACAAAACTAAAAGAGCTGTCAAACATTAACATTTAAAACTGTCATATTTTGTGTTTTCTAGTTTTGATGTTTTTGGAGTGGAATAATCGTGAATGCGATGTTTTGAATAAAGAATTAAAGTAAAGTGTGATGTTTTATAAACAAATTGGTAAATTCAATAAAAGAGAGAAAGAAAAAAAAAAAAAGTGGTATAAAAATCACTGAGTAAACAAACCCTTGTCACCAATAGAATCTAACAGTAAATATATACATATAAAAAAATAAGAAATGGGCCAACAGAACTACCTCTTTAGTTGAATACACCTCAGTGTTGTATCCAATTTCCTCACCATTGTCATTCGTTTTGATACCCCTCGGCTCACCAAAGTAAATACCTAAGTATTAAAGTTTTCAAGAATGATTTTAGACCATTACACGATATAAGTAAGGACAATATTCAAACAACCAGAAAGTAAAACTACCTCCAGTCAGTTCCCTTACAACCATTAAGTCCACACCTTCTGCAACTTCTTTCTTCAAGGTCGAAGCATCCACTAACTAAGACAAATTCAGAGCAAAAAACTAAATATGCGCAATCGTAATCTTATCCCCTATGTAATATAGAGACATGCTTTGCTAATATAAACAGATCATGCTGCCATACACAACCTACCAATCAAATAGATTCGTTAAGTAAACAATACTTCATGTCAATTCATCAAGTAAATGCAACTAGATACATCTAAATAAAAATGTGTGCATGTCCAAACATCTATCCGAACTTGACACATATTTTAACAAAACCAACATTTTCGATATCTGGTATCAATTTGCCAAATATTATTAGTGACTAATAATCACTCAAGCGGTAAAGTAACAAAAATTACTTTCTTTAATTTATATCATTAGGTCAAGAAGATAAGATTAACATATCTGCTGACCCTTTTAACCTAGTAGCATGTGATTGATGCTTCCTTTTCTTTTTCTTCAATACTTTTACAAACTTTATGTATTTTAATTAGTAAAATGACGGCATCATAAAACTAAAAGAGCTGTCAAACATTAACATTTAAAATTCTCAATCTTTCAAAGACAAACAACTTTCGGATCCATGCCATGTTCTAAAGCAACAAAAGTACAAAACAGTATTTTAAACAGAATATAAATAAAAACAAACAGTCTGTCCATAAAAATTTACATTTTCACCTGTGGATAGACAGTAGCTGGTCTCAAGTTTGCAAATGCTTTTAGGCCTGATCGAAGCTGAAGAAGCCCTGTCTCAGGTTTAAGATGTTTCTCAATATTATCCCATTTATACCTTCAATTATAAATATAGACCATCGAAAATGCATTAATCATCATGAAAAATAAATGAATCGAAAATAAACACCTAAAACATTGTTTCAAATATTCATCTTCATCACATTGCTGCAATACATACCCTCCTATGGCTCCTAGAAAAACTGCATCGGAATTCTTTGCAGCAGAAAGTGTCTCCTCCGGCAACGGCACTCCGGTCAAATCCAAGGCGCAGCCACCAATCGGCATCTCCTTGAAATCAATTGCAAATCCTAGCATAAACACATTTTTTGAAAATGCTAAATTAAACAGAAGAACGCAATCAAATCATCCACCAGCAACTTCAAACTTCAGTTTGTACATTACCTTCAATGGAGGCAACTAGCTTTAGCGCATTCTTCGAAACGGAAATGACTTCCGGACCAATTCCGTCCCCGGGGAGGACTACGACATTGTATTTCTTCCCCGATGGCACATCGGCAGAAGAGCGTATGCAGGAAAACTGGCGGCCGTTTCTGCCAGTCAATTTGGGACAGAGTGGCAGAGGTTTCCATGGATTGACACGCAGAGAAGCAGCCATTTCAGTTATCTAGTTCGAGTAAATTGGATCAGTTCAAACTTCCTAATTGATTAGTAAAGCAAATGCCAGAATGATTCACACATTGCTCCTACATTTTAACCATCATATAAAATCAAATCAAATCAAAATGCGTAAAGAGAAGCAACATAAGTACCATTTTCCGCTGCGTGCGATTCCACTGAAGAAGAAGACGTTGGACTGAAGAAGACGTAGAAATTAGGGCCGGCTATCGCAACGGTACCTAATAATTGGATCGGCCCCGGACCCGATTTTAGATCCGACCCTATCGAATTCGACTAAATCTAAGAGTTGCCCATTCTGTTCGGATCCTCCGGTTCAAACCACCGGTTTAAGTTTAGAACCGGCGGATTGTCCATTAAATTTATTTATTTTATTCTAGCAGTCACCACGGCCAGGGCGGCGCAGGCGCGGCGGAGTAGGAGGTGCAGGGCGAGGGTAGGTGACGAAGAAGGAGGGTAAAGAAAGAAGAAGGAAAAGAAGAACGAATTGGAGAAGAAGAAGAAGAACCTGGTGCTGCGGCGGCTATGGTCTGTCGACGTGTGTAATGTATCGATTAGGGAAATTGATGTATTTCTTATTTTGTAATAATAATAATATATTGAGTAAAAATCATTTTTTGTCTCATTTATTATCACAATTATCAATTTTAGTCTCATTAAGAAAAATTATCAATTTTGGTCCACTCAAATAAAAATTTATCAATTTTAGTCCCAAATCGATTGGGACACGGCCATGTTGATTACCCTGCACTTCTGAACACGGCATTGTTCTTGCCCGTGTTCTGAACACAGCCATATTTCTGCCCATTTCTCAACACAATCATGGCCATGTTCCTGCTCATGTTCTCAACACAGCCATGTTCTAAATCATATTCACGATCATATTTTCAATATAATCATACTGTAGGTCATATTTATTATTATTTTCACTTTTTGATTAAAATTATTTGATATAAATATATACACTTATAATTTAACAAAAATATATTTTACAATTATTTCATAATATAAAAAATAATCAATTTTTAATATTTTAAACATATATAAAAACAATAATATATTAATATATATTTTTAATAATATTCCCTCCGTCCCATATACTACGTTGATATTGCAATTTTTGTCTGTCACACATCCCATGTCGCTTGTTTTTTTTTGGAAAATAATTAACTATTTTTTAATTTAATTTTTTTTAATTTTAATTAGTTATCTTAATCTTAATTTATAATTATTTATATTATATGATAATTATCTTCACTAATATATTTTGAATTATCTACTAATTATATTTATCATAAATTTTCGTGTTATAGTGACCCAAACATCCAACGTGAGATGGAGGAAGTATAATTAATATTTTAAAATTTTTACTATAAATTTTTAAAAATATATATAATGATTATTAAAAATATATATTAATATATTATTGTTTTTATATATTTTAAAATATTAAAAATTAATTATTTTTTATATTATGAAATAATTGTAAAAAAATATTTTTGTTGAATTATAAATATATATATATTTATATTAAATAATTTTAATCAAAAAATGAAAATAATAATAAATATGACATACAATATGATTATATTGAAAACATGGTCGTGAACCTGGCCTAGAACATGACTGTGTTGAGAATATGGGCAAGAACCTGGCCTATAACATGACTGTGTTGAGAACATGGGCAAGAACACGGGCAAAACACGACTGTGTTCAGAACACGGCCAGGAACTCGGCCGTGTTCAGAAGTGAAAGGTAATCAACACGGCCGTGTTGGCTGTCTGGGATGCCCAGGCACCTTCTGGGATGCACAATCACCAAAATTGATATTTGTGATATTGAATGATTTTTGCTATAATATATTTATAACTAAATTTAATATATATTTTTATAAAAAAATAATAATATTAATAATAAAGATAATTATAATATAAATAATAATATAGTATTATTATATTTATATTTTAAATTTTATAATTTTTCATTATATGATTATATTTAATTCAATTATTTTATTAATTAATACATCAATATTTATATAATTTATTTTTTTAACAGGAATGTTACATAAATCTCTAAAATGTGAGATTGCTCGAAACTTTCTTTATTTTTTTTTTAAAAAAAAATTCTCTAAATACCTTAAAATTCTCTAAATATAAAATTATATTACTCGTAACTATGAAATGGCTTTTCTATCATTCTATTGTTTACAAAATAACAAGAATACCAAATTTATTTCAAAAATTACAAAAGTCGCATATTGTATTATTGTCCTTGATCCTAGCCAAATTTGTACTGCTGCCTCACCTTCGATCAGTTCTACCTGCCGAACCGTCTGCTTCTACCGGTCAATCTTCAGCCGCTGCCCGTCTGTCACAATGGCTCTCTATCAAAAGTAAATTTGTTTTAAATTTTGTTTTATTCTCCTACATAATGTTCTTATCATACTCTTATTTTGTAGTATTATTCGGTTTCTTGAGTTATATATGTCAATATTTTAGTTATTTAGTTTGGTTATTTATGTTTAAAAATATTGAAAATTTAATCGCTTGTTTGATGGTTTGTTAAATAGAATAGATTGGTTTTTTATTTTGTTTACGTTAAATGTACTCAATTTATAAAATACATATATATATTTTTTTTAATTTTGTAAAAAATCTATCGAAAAAGAAGATAGTCATAACACTACAATTTTATCTCGATGTACCACAGCATATTTTCTCATCGATTATGTTCGAACTAGAGCCATTAATGACACCTAAACCTCATTCGTGTGCTTGTGGACTGAGTGTTATGTATACGATACCGAAGACACTAGAAGAAAAGTACAAGAAGTAGCCATCATTGATGATTATCGGACTGTCATTCTTAGTGCAGCTAAGTCTTGTTAGTATGGTCAAGTTGTAAATACCGATGTTGTGAGATACACGATTGTAAATCCTTTATTTTCATTAATAAATATTAAATGCAAATAGTTAGTCTCCTTCATTTGTATTTCAACTTGATTAAACAGTGCACCCAAAAATTTTGTCATCAAATTCACTAAAATCCATTACACTAATTCTTAAAAAGTATGATAATAATATGTACGCAAGGCTCGAAAATGTTCTGGTTTTCAAGGAAACGCAGCTTGTTTCCGCGAGCTCGAAACAAGATAAAGAAGAGCTGAACAAAAACCTATGAGCCGAACAAAGCTATGAAGATTACAGTCAAAGTCGATGATGTGCTCATACACGAACAATTTCACCTATGAAGAATCAACGAAGTTGCAATATTGATCAATGTTGGAGATGTTTGTATTTTGGTGTGTTTGAGAGAAAAAGGGAGGAACGATACTTCAACTGCACGAGGCCTGATACATAAGACGTCAATTTTGAAGTTTTCAAATTTATGTTATTACGAGCCAAAATTTTTAAATGTCTATAAGAAAGCTTCGAACATAGGGAGAGGCCTTCCAAGATACGGTTTGTTCTTGCTCTAAACTACTGTTCAAACCTCACAACTAAAATCAAAATTTTCAAAATAATACAACAATGGAAAGCATGTGAAAATTTATGGATATAATCAGCACATATCTCCCAGACAAATCTCTCCACTTCGCACAATAGACATTATGGCTGTGTTTGTTCGGGGGTTTGGATTTTGAATTGAGATTTGAATAGTAAAAATTTTGAATTTGAATAGTTGTACGATGTGATATAAATAGGTGTTGATGTGATGTTTTGAATGTAAAATTGATTTTTAGTATAATATGAAAAATAAAAAAATAGGTGTTTGATTTGATATTTTTGGAGGAAAAAAAATGAGATGAATAGTGAAAATTAAATCCAATCCCCCAAACAAACACACCCTATATGTATTCTAAGACATTAATAATAATAATAATAATAAAACTCTTTTGTGTCATATTAAAATACATGTAAAATAGGTCCGATAAGGAATAGCCTGGTCGCACGAGGGATGGACGTGTGCCACATATGGTTCTGCTGAAAAAATCAAACACGCAAAAAGTAAATATAACTTTTGTTACCTGAACGAAAATAGTAATATTATATTAGTCAGTAGAAGTGTGTAAAATTATTTTAACATTTTTTTGCCTTAAAAATACAAATAAAATAAATATTTTCGTAAAAGTTAAGAGTATTGTAACATTTAGATACAATTATTTTACTACAATTAAAATAAATATTTTTTTAATAGAAAAAACAAAAATAGTAAAACACATACATTGAATTGAGACATAAGAATAGTGTCTTTTAAATAAAATAAAATAAATAAATAATTTATCAATTATCAATTTAATACTAATTTTTTGCAAATAAACTAAAAAAAAAACTATAAAATAAATGATTGATAAATTATTTTTTATTATTTTGTATTCAAATTAGACTATTTAAAAGATTTGACACTTTAATTTATATAAAATTTGCATAATTTAGAGGGTACTTACAAGTAAACATTAGCTTTAAAAAAAGAGAATATTTTGTACCTAATTTAATTTAACATAAAATATTTCAAACAATAAATAAAAAACAGAGTATTTTTACATTTTTACTAAAAACATACGAAGAATTATACAATTTACACTACTACTATTAAAAAAAAAAACTAATAATAATAATAATATATAATAATAATGATGATGAATTTTATTGCAAGATCTGACAGTCAATCTAGGGTGTGTTTGTTTGAGGGATTTGTTTGAATTTCTACTATTCATTCTATTTTTTTTCCATAAACATCAAATCAAACATCTATTTTTTATTTTTTATATTATACTAAAAATCAATTTTATATTCAAAACATCACATCAACACCTATTTATATCACGATCATACAACTATTCAAATTCAAAATTTTTACTATTCAAATCCTAACTCAAAATCCAAACCCTCGGACAAACACACCCCTACTAAACCATAAGCACAGTGAATCAGCCAAAAAACAGCAGAACAACATAAATCATTGTCAATACAGAGCGAGCAGTTCTTGCAAGAAGTGTAGGAGACTCAGCTAAGAATTTTCCAAGCTCCAAAGAATCACAGATTCAAGTAAATATCAGAGATAAACAAGCTCCCGATACATGGCAGCTTCAACCACACTATCCTTGACACCAATGAAAGCAATGTAATTAAAATCTAACGGTCTCTTTTTCGTCTCGTACTATTCATAATTTTTTTTTTTTCGCTCAAAATTACACTAATCTATGATAATAATAACCATCTCGACAGTCGAGACTAATTTATTCTAAATAATATTTGTACTATAAAAGTCTACGTTAGTTTTTACTTGATCAAACATAACGTCTCAGAGCATGTAAGACAACAGCAAACAATAAGGGAATGCAACCTGGATGAGGCAGACGACACTTGAAACTCATTTCCATCTTCTAAACAAACCACACCATATATCTGATCTGCTTGCCGGAGGTTTATGTCATTCTGTAGGTCAGCTCACACTGGAATAATACAGCCATAATGCACCTGAAGGCCTGCCTTCACCCACAACGATCATCTAAGACACCGTATAAGATTAAAACTGGAAAAATAAAAACATAAAACATGTATAACCGAAACAGATAATAAAACTAGTGTAGAACACTTTACCAAATTGATTTTCTTAGATTTTGCCATGTTCGTTGAGGAGTGCCAGCATGCATCCTATTTCAATTTACGGAGGGTAGGATTCCAAGGGAAGAGTCGAGCTAATTTACCAAGAATAGTCGACTTTATTGTCGTTAACCAGTATTTACAAAAACCTTGACAGCAAGAAGGGAGGTCTCCCTGCCTACTCTTACCTATGACCTCATAGTTAAGACTTCATTAGGGATCGAACTGATCAGAAGAGTTACACCTAATACTATCCATATGCTTTCACTCCCATGCCAACGATTATATAGACAACACAATTGTAAACCAAAAAAGAAACAACATACTACGTTATCACATCACCCAACTTGTATAATGCGTAGCCCCATTGAGGCTTTACGCACTCAAATTACCAAAAGTCTAAAAATGGATATATTAATTTCGAAACTCATGGTTAAAATCATAAAATTTCTTCACAATTTTCCAAAGAATTTTAAAGCCAAAACTGATCCATGAACTTTTGTAAAATCTGCAGCTAACACATAGATCTATCATGCTATTATGTTTCCAAGAAATAAAATCTCTGTTAACAAACAGCCGAGGATGTAAACATGCTTGATAAAGCTGAAAATTGCAAAACATACTTACTCTTGTTAAAATATCATAAATAGGCTACAGTTCGAACATTGAAATCTCAAGATGAGAATTCACCTGTAGCAGCTGTGATTAGGGAGGAAGATGAAGATGGAGAGCAGGTCTTAAAGTAATTTCATCGAGTACAGTTATATTTATATACCCTTATACGCTGCCATGAATACTTTCATACTGCTTTTCACTATCCAAAGCCCTTACTCTTCAAAATCTAATTGGAAGTCTTCAAGTCTCTGTCTCTGTCATTAGGGGATGATACGACATACCAAATCCTTAAAAAATCAGCATCTGTTACAACAAGCCCGATGACACCAAGATCAATTTCCTTACAAAAATGCTCCTGTATTCAGCCTCTTGCTTTCAGGCCATCTGTTGTGACAGGATTGAGCCTTACGGCAGGTATTCTTAACCAAATTTCACCCCCTTTTTCAGATTTTCTTGCGACTTTGGTGATTAAAATTACGGGGTATAACTGTATAATACATTCTTTTGACAGTCAAGTTAGCGACAAGGTATAGTAAATCATACAGATGGCCGAAGAATAAACTTCCTACCAAAAAGTCTAAGAAAGTAGACCCACTCTACATACATATAGTTTTAACATAGAAGAATCTGGCGGGATATGATGCATATATCACATAGTGGCACTCCTCTGATGCCGTTCTTATGTTGTGGGGCTTGGCTTCATTAAAAGGTGCATTTGAGAGTGTATGCGTGCAGAGTACCCATTGCCTTTTCTTATAAGAATACAAGTTAAAAAGTCTTACTTTTTATCACATAGTTTCGCATGGCTGCTCCAAGGATTGAAATTATGCACGGTAAAAATCAAATTTTGAAGGCAAGATTATAGTTCCTATCATTTGAGTGTCTTAATAATGGAAATGAAGAGGGAAAAAAAACAGAAGAGGAAAAACCTTCTAATAAGTAAAAATTGTCCAAACAGTTAATGGAAGATATGGATGGAATTGAACCTTAGTTATGACAAAAACCCGTTCAAATACGATTGTTCGACATTTCCTCTCAAGTATAGAAAATTGTTCATATTAAACTCCTAATTGGAATATCTGTTGTTGCTCCTCATTTCCTTTTCTCCACACATTAGTCATTCATTCTAGACTCTTATATGAAGCCATAAACCAATCAAATAATCGAAACTCAAAACATTCATCGACGTCTAGAGGATCAAACAAACGCCCTGCACCTTCTCCTAGATTTTAAACCTCAGCATTGATTAAAATACCTCAAAAATTCTTACAGGAGATTCATATGTACAAAACAACTATCTTAACTGCAGTTAGTGTATATATATATATATATATTATACTTATATCAGATTTCCGGCAACATAAATTTTATTCTAAATTGATCCTTTTAGTATGAAATAAGTAACAAATCCTGCAGTAACATATATATATATATACATAAACGTTTCCGACTATATCATCCAAAATATAAACACAATTCCCAACATAACATAGACGGCTTACAGAAGCTAACGCTTCAAGGAGATGTGCCCTGCTCCAAATTAACAGCCCAAAGCCTCTTCCACTGTTCATCGCCGCATGCCCTCAAACCTGGAATCGGATCCAGGTCGACCCGGGTCCGACAGGCGGGGCAAGTCGGGTTCTTCCTAATCCACCGGCCCAAACACTTGGCGTGGAACAGGTGCTTGCAGGCAGGGATGTTCCGGCACTCATCCCCTTCCACGAAGGATTCCAGGCAAATGGCGCAGTCCGACACCCAGGAAAAGGCCGCGGCGCTGTACGCCACGTCGGGGAGGAGAGGCGGATCCGCTGGGGCCGCCGCGGCGTCCTCGTCCTCGGCGGCGTTGCCGTTGCCGTGGCGGTGGCGGTGGTGGGGGTGGTTTTGGAAGAGGCGAGAGCAGCGGCGGTTGAAGGTGTTGGACATGAATAGAAAGTGGAGGAGGACGATGGCGGCGAAGCCGAGGAAGAAGAGGAAGATGGCGATGACGAGCAGCATGATGACGCCTTGGAGGAAGACGAAGAGGAGCTTCCGCTGGCTGCGGGTGAGGTATCGCGGGCGGAGCGGGGAGTCGGCGGTTGGTGGCATGTATGTAGGAAGAGAGCGTGGGAATTGATATTGAAATTGAAATTGAAGAGACGGTAATTTTTTGATATTAGGGTTTGGGAATTGGGAATGGGCGACGAAGAAGAAGATGAAGATGATGATGATATTAATTGATGATAGTGAGAGGAGGCGCCGTAGGTTTTGTCGGGTGGGGAAAAATGTGTTAATTGAGATCGGGCACACAGTTTTAGGGTCAAAATATGTTTTTTTAGGCAAGTTTTTTCAAATTTTACAATTTCTCTTTCATTTAAATATGTTTTTTCTTTCTTTTTTTTTTGTTCAAAGTTATTACTATAATTTTTTTTTTTTCAGTAAAATAATATATACTTTCTCGGTCCCCAATTTATCTATCTATTTGCTTTTTGACGGAGTTTTAAAAATATTAATATTATTTATGATAAAATAGAAATAAAGATAAAAATACTAAATTAATCCTATTAGTATTGTATGATATAAAAGTAATAGCATTTGTGTAATATAGTAAATTAGAAGGGTATTTGTAATGTTAGTAGATAGTACAATTACTAAAAAAAGAAACGGATACTTTGTTATGAGACGAACCAAAATGAAAAAATTGATAGATTGTTAAGGGACTGAGGGAGTATATTTTTTTTATATCATAAGAAAATATTTATATTTTTACTTGTTTTATAATCAGATTAAATTGGTATATACACGAAGGAAAAATTATTTGAATTCTATTTGAATTATAATTATAATTCACTTGTTATTTGAGATGCTCGCCAAATTTCAAAGGAATCGAAAGTGATTTCAACACCTTGCAGTATTTCTTGATCCACTATAGCCCGAACCACCTGGGCAGAAAAAAATATATTTCTTCGATTCCGTAGAAAGATTATCTTTACTTTTTGTACGTAAAAAAAAACCTTTCAATAGAATAAAAAAAATATTTTCTTTTTAAATATTATTTTAATATCAAAATTCAAATCAAATTTTTTCAAATTCAACAAAAAGAAACATACTGGTCACACTTTATGCTTGCCACAACTACAATTATTCTCTCTATGTATATGATCCCTTTCATCCAAAATAATATAATTGCATGTACTCTTTCCGCTCCATAACAAACTATTAATTTTTTCATTTAATCCGTCTCATACAAAGTATTCATTTCTTTTTTTAGTAACTGTATTATCTACCTAACATTATAAATACTCTTATAATTTACAATATATTACACAAATGTCATTACATTTATATCACACAATACTAATAAGGGTATTTTAGTCATTTCTACTTTATTTCTACACATCCCAATATAATACTATTATTTCTAAACCCCGACGCCCCAGGTCCATCTGCCACACATGGTTCGCCTAGTGTGTCTTTCCCGTCGGGCCTGTTTTGCAGGGTATTAGATTCGGTCGGGGGTTTACCCAGTGCATACTTTCGGGTAGCGGCTGCGGACTCCCAAGTTATCAAAAAAAATATATATATTTCTAAAACTCCGTAAAAAAATAAATGAATATCTAGTTGTAAGAAGGAGTATATTTTTTAATGCTCCAGTTATCAAGAAAATATTTATTAAAAAAATAAATATTAATATAATATATAGTATATGTTTAAATAAAAGATTATATAATTATATATAACAAAATATATCTTAAATTACCAGAATATATCACAATTGCTTCTTTCTGGTTCATCATGTTTGTCTGTTGCTTCTGCAGCAGCTTTTGATCTGGTACCTTTCTTATGGTATCTTACAATCAGCAAATCTTTATAAAAAAAATTTTTTCCTTCCATTCGGCTCTAAAAGTCTCATTTATCTTTTGCATTATTATATTTAACATTAAAAATATTCTTATAATTGTATAATTTTTTGTACAAATGTCATTATAATAATACTATAAGACACTAATAAAAGTATTTTTTTCATTTTCCCTTGATTTGTAATATATTTTTCATATATAACTAATATTCAAAGATCAACACGTAAAAAGTAAATGAACCCTTAAAGTCGGACGAAGGTAGTAGTAAATATTAATTTAATATAAAGCACATTATATACTACAATATAATTATTTGTCTTATGATGATTTACTAAATTGTTTCAAGTTAATGAGCTGTCTTAGTAACATACTATTTGTCATGTGATGATTTGCTAATTACTTCAGTTTAATTTGCTAATTTGTACAAATCAAATCAGCACCCTAGTCGCTGTCATATTGTAATGTTAATATTATAAGATAAATGCATATATATATTACTAAACTTCTTCAATCTTGATATTTTTAATGTCAATAGAAAGAATAATCTTGATATTTTTACTAAACTTCTTCAAGATATTAAACAAATATGAGACAAAAATATTGATGAATACACTCCTATTATGCTTTTGAATATTATTCCTGAATATTTTTCTGATGTCAAATATGCTATTAAGTATGATAGATGTAGTAATATAACTCTTGAAACGGTTATGAGTGAATTAAAGAGTAAATCATTATACTTGAAGATTAATGAAAAAGAAAAACAAGCAGTTACTATAATTGTGGGAGTAAGAATTATTTTATGAATCAATGTCTATATCCTATGGAGAACTTTAAAAACCAACAACATGAGAAGCGAACGTGACTACAAAAAATAAGGTTATAGGTAACGTGTTTATGGTAAGAGATAATATTTCTACTATTGACCTGGTGTAGGAAACTGAATGGTTACCTAATATTGCCCTTGAGAACTTTGTTTTCGATTTGTAACTCTATCTCGCATAGTTTTGTTGGTACAAATGATTTTAGTTTAAAGTTTTTTGTTATATGTTAACTTTAGAAACTTGATGGATTGATTTTAAAACATGGTGTTGTTTTAATGTTTGCGTATATATTTACTTTGTGCTTATATATATACTTTTGTATGCAATATCTATATGGTAAGTTGCATGTATATAGGCGATGATATAAGCATGTTCCCTACTTTTGTTATGCCCTTCAAAGCAACTATGATGGTAGACCAAAAACAAGAGAGAGATTGTTGGGTTGTATTTCTAGTTCGACCCGAATCACCCGACCTGATCCAACCTTATACTTGAACCGATTTGATCTGTTTATATTGGATCCCTCTTCTCTCTCTCATTTTCGATTCAATCAAATTGAAAATGAATAGGTCCTCGCTTCTTCTTCTTTCGTTCCGACGACTTTGCGATTTCAAAATTGGAAATCAGTTCCTACATCTTTGTGATTGATCAACAAGGTTTGTTCGTAAACCCTTGGGTTTTATTTACTTTCTTCATCCGGTATAAATATGTTGGTGGGTTTATTATTTTTCGAGTGTGGGAACCGAGAGGGAGAGATTAGTTGTTTGGTGCCGATCCATTGTGTTCTTCCTTACTTAGTGCTCGTCGGAGTTCTGTTGGACCTCCTCCCTTCTTTGCCTTTGTGTGCTTCTTTGGTTTTTGTGGGATTACGGTTTACTCAGTGTCGAAACCCTTGATTACTCCCCTTTGTGGTGTTTCCTCATTGAAAGGCTTGGAGTTATCACGGAATAGACTGTGATTTGAGCCTACTGAATTATTCCCGATATTCCTTTTAATTATAACATTGTTTTCTTTGTTATTTTGATTAATTGATACTAACCTACTAATATTTTTGGTGAAAATTATTTGATTGGAGGAACAATCTGAATCATCAGGGGGAAAGAGTTCCTAGCAGATGGAGAATGTACAAGTATAAAAATACAGTTTTAAAGTTTTTTCTTTACATGCATTTGTTTGATTGATTTATGTTTGAATTTAAATTACATATTAGAAAAATTAAATTTAATGGGTTTATTTTGCATTTTTGGATGAATGTAATTTTTTATTAGATATGATGAATTAATATGAAAAATACTATTTATATCTCACATATTCTATCAATGTTGTCGTGTTCATCTCATGTCACTTTTAAAATTTTTTTTTTAAAAAAATTAATTATATTTTTATTTTTTAATTTATAATTTTAAAATTTTTTAATTATATTAATTAATAATTTTATTTTTAATTCATAATTATTTTTATTATATTATAACTAGTTTTATTAATATATTTTAACTATTTACTAAGGGTGTGTTTGTTTGGGGGTTTGGATTTTGGATTGGGATTTGAATAGTAAAAATTTTGAATTTGAATAGTTGTATGATGTGATATAAATAGGGTTTGATGTGATGTTTTGAATGTAAAATTGATTTTTAGTATAATATAAAAAATAAAAAATAGGTGTTTGATTTGATATTTTTAGGGAAAAAAATTGAATGAATAGTGGAAATCCTCCAAAATCCTTCAAACAAACATACCCTAAGAGCAACCGAAATGACCTCATTGTTGAGGCCCTTCCTTGACTTTTTTCCCCTTCATCGAAAAGTTAACTGTGCAACAACCGTCTTTCCCAAGCCATCTTCTCGACCCGCCTCCCATGGTGCTTGGTGCAGGCGAGGCAAAGTTGAGGCCAAAATTTTCTCTCTCCCGTCCTCTCTCTCTCCTTTGCCTTGCTCTTTTCTTCTTTTATTCGACTTCTTCCGCAACCTAGCTCCGGCTCCGCCGACCCGTTCACCTCTCTCTCTTTCCACCGTGACCTCCGGCCTGCAATTTTTTTTTTTTTTTTTTTCAGCAGAAGTTGTTTTCTTGCCGTCTCTCATGCTCGTCTCCCTCAAACACTCCAATATCCACCATTCTTGAACCTCGGTTTTTTGGGCGAATCGTAAGGTGAGTGCATTTTCGATCATGATGTCGTCTATCGTGTTCAAGAAGATGAACACATCTATTTTGCAAAAATCCGATATTTGAGCGTCGATTTTGATTTGGAATTCCAACTTTGATTTGTGCTATTTCGATTTGGGTGACTTGGGCTATTTCGATTTAAGTTGCTATTTCGACAATATCAAATAATTATCGGAAAAAAAAAAAAATTATCGAAATAAATTCAATAACCAATAATAATTTATCGGAATAACTCGATAATCACAACAATTTTATTGAATAAATTCGATAATCGCGACAATTTTATCGAAATAAATTTGTTAATTACAATAATTTTATCGAAATACATTTGACAATCAATATTAAGTTATCGAAATAAATTCGATAATCACGTCGAGTCGAAGTAGAACCTCTTTCCGTAAAAACGAATACGCTTCGGTAGTGCCTCCGGTTTGTAGCGTAACGTCCCCAAAGATAAAACAACGTTCGTCTCCGAATTAGGTGGTACCCTAATATTTCGGAGCTCCGGCAAACTAAAATGAAGGGACTTGAGCTATGTCAGAAAGTTAGGCAAATATAGCTTCCGGAGCTTTCCGAAAAACTCGCCGAAAATTGTTTGGGATGGAGAGGACTATAGAGGAAGAAAAATCTTTTTCTCTTGGTGTGGTGTGGTTGGAATGGTGGAAGTGGCCTTATATAGGCACTCCAACCTTAGGAAATTTAATATCAAGCCGAAACCGTCGACTTTTAGTGATTTGTAATCGTCGGTCATAATTTTGGTAACGTCTGACAATAAATACTATACTTAGTTCCGATTATAAACACCAAATTTAATTTCGATCATAAATATATTATTTGAATTTTGAATTTCAAATAATTATTTATCATATTTGCACGTAAATACCTGGTCCGGACAGGTGAGACGCGTACCCGTAGCTTACCATCATACAACTCATATGTATTTTAACTCACCGAATAATCAATTTAAAAAATTATAAATTTTAATTTAAAATTAAGTTCTATCAATTAAATAATTAACCGATTTTTCAACGTTAAGCTTCCAATTATTTGATTGTTGGTAAACACTACTTCTCTTTATTAGTGCTAACTTGGAATATTTGATCAGCTCCTTGTTTATTGGATGGAGTTTTTGTTTGCAAGAATTCGATATGCTCTTTATTTTTTGTGATTTTTATTTTATTATTTATAAAATAAATTAATTATATCTATATTTATATTTTTTAATTAGTATTAATTTTTATATTGTATTTACTGTATTTAATCAAATAATATTATATATTTTTATCTATATTTTGTATAAATATTATTTAATAATATTAAATTTTAATTTATTTAATTTTAAAAATATTTATTATTTTATTTGATCAAATAATAAAATTTTTTAATTTACTTTATTAATATAATATTAAAATATTTTTAAAATTAAATATATAAAAATAATAAAATATTTGATGATATTATTTATAAAATTTAAAAATTATAAAAAATAGATAAAATATTATTTGACCCTATAAGATACAATTGAAGATGAAATATTAACTAAAACCCCAAAGACAACTTAATTTGGTACAAAAGAAGTATATTATTTTAATATTTATAGAGAATAGTAAAATTAAAAAATTAAGTTTGATAAACACACTATTTTTTTTTTTTAAAAAAAATTTAACTCTAATGTAATGTTAATTATAATAAAAAGTTAAAGAAAATTACAAAATAACCATACTTGAACTAACCCGATTATGGGGGTGTATGACAAATAGTTTTTTGAAAAGTTTTTAACTTATTGAACAACTTTTAGGTGTTTGATCAGTTAAAAAACTAATTTAGGTGTTTGGTAAATTAGCTTTTTGGAATAGCTTTTTGATCCAAAAAGCTAATTTCTGAAAAGCTAACTTACGCAGCGTTTTGAAATAGTTTTTTCTATAATTTTTTTTTATTCCTTACCCTTAAAAGTTTATTATACATTTTACACAAATAAATATATTTTGATTATTTATTAATCATATTAGAATATTTTATTATATTATAGTTTTACTTTTATAAATTTAAAATAATTAATTTTTATATAAAAATAATTTTAATTATAAAATATATAAATTTATTAAAATTAACATAAAATAAAAAATATAAATATCAATAATAAAAATAAATTAAATAAAGTAAATTTATTGAAAATTATAAATATAATGAACTAATCGATAACTAACATAATAAATATATAAACTAAAAATTTATTATATTATATTTTACATCATTTTCAATAAAAAAAACTATTTATATATTTTAATAAAAATATATTATTTTTTAAATATAACTATAATAAAAATAAATACTTTTATAACACTTTTACAATTTTCAATAACTAATAACAAAAAATTTTAAAAATTCTAAATTCAAAAGAACATAATTGAATATATTAGAAATCAAATAAAAATTGTCATTTTACGTATAAACGACTAATATCAAAAAATTATTTTACCAAATATTTTAATACAAATAGCTAATCGAATCAGCAAGTCAAACCAACTAATTGAATCAACTCAGTTAACAACAGCTATCATCGACTAATTGTGGAACACGTCCTAAGTATATTTATGTAGGAGTAAAAGAAAAACAAAAAAAAAACATATTAATAAAAAAGTCGGAACAGGCGAGATGACAGTGAACAAGAATCTGTATGAATTGCCAATGTTGAAGAAGATGCACTTTTCTTGCATGCTCGCCTTTCGAGGTTGTCGAACGCCTCTTTGTATGTTTCCCATATCCATGAAATGAAACTCTCCCGTATTGTCATTAGTGTATGAATGCCGCATTTAATTTGGTGATCGAATGGTGGTTGTGGCGATTGATTGATGTCCACCCCCAATTTTAGGGATTGGGCCTCAATTTGGGGATTTTTTTTTTAACTTTCTTAGGACGACTGAAAAAATGGGGCAAAGGCGAAGAGATTTTGGGCGAACGATTGTCCGTCGTTGAATTATTTTTGGATTTCTGCGGTTCGCGAGAATTGATTAAGAGAAACTTTGGGGCCTAATTTGTGGAACTTGTTTCTGTGATTCCTGGGAAGTATCGGAACCTTGTCGCTGGAACTCCTGGATTTTCCGGCGAATTTAGGTTGCGGTATTGAAGGATTGAATTGAATTGAATTTTCCGGGGGTTTCAGAAAGGGGGAATTGCCTGAATTTGAAAATTTTCAGTTTCTTCTCCTCGAATTGAAAATCAGCTGTTGTGTTCTTTTCTTCTCTCTATTTTTTTAATCTTTTGGCGTTTCGGATTTGGAAAAGCCTTTTGAAGCCGCCTGTGTTGTTCCTGTCTTTGTCAAGGTAGAACTGCTTACTGTTTCTGCATCTATTGAATAATCTGTTGGAATTGATGAATGATGTTGATTGTCTGTTGCCTCGAATTTGAACTTTGGAGCAATTCGCGATCGATGTTCTCCGTATTCTTACAATTGCAGGATTTTTGCTGTGGTTGATTCTACAGGAATTTGGATTCGATTTCTGCGTGAAAAATTCTGAGAAATTGTCAGCGCTGTTGATTTGATCTGCTATACATCTGTACAGAAACTCATCGATCTACCGAACGTGTTCCTACTTTGATCTTTGGTTGACTTGTTGAGTTGAATTAGAGAATCTGTGGTTTCATCCATTTTTCTTTTTCTTTTTCTTTTCTTTTCTTTTTAGTTCTGTTTTTTTCTTTGGTTAGTTGTGTCGAACCATGAGGTTCCTGAGTCTTGTGGGTAATTCTTTTGGATGCACTGCTTCTGGTGAACGTCTCGTCTCCGCCGCTAGAGACGGTGATCTCCAAGAAGCCAAGGCTTTGTTGGACTACAACCCTCGTCTCGCGAGGTATTCCACATTCGGTGTCCGGAATTCGCCGCTGCATTACTCTGCAGCTCAAGGTCATCATGAGGTGTGCTGCAGTTCAATTTTTGAATATATATATATATGTATATATATATTTAATCTCGAATCATTTGTCACGGTTGTTGGTTTTATTGTTTGTTTTTTAGATTGTTTCACTGTTGCTCAAATCTGGAGTTGATATTGATCTCAGGAACTATCGCGGACAGGTATAATTTGTTCTACTTTTTTGGTTTGTCCTTGCGTCGTTTTTTATGTTATGTATGTAGTTGTGTTTGTTGCATTGCACCTACAATATCAAAAATGGAAACTCGAATGTTGCAATTTGTAGCTTGCATTGACTCAGATGACCAAATCCGATTCTGAAATTGGTTATACCGTCATGTTTTGGTATATGAATTTAGATTTTAGAATTCAGATTGAATTCACTGTGTTATTGAGTTTGGTCCAAAATTGATCCTGCACGAAACTATTATAGAAGTAGTTTGAAAATGAAATAAGTTATTCAGTTTAATACAAATGCCGATTGAAATTGAAAATCAGTATTACTGAATTGTTAGAACTGATTTCCCCATGTATTTCGATAGATTTATTTTCAACCTATAGATTTATCGACCAAACCAGCTATTTACCTGATCATAAATGTTAATTCGTCTTCACTTGCAGACAGCTTTGATGCAAGCTTGTCAGTACGGTCACTGGGAGGTTGTTCTGATTCTAATGCTTTTCAGAGCCAATGTATGACGTGTTATGATTTTTATTTTTTCAATCTTAACAAATTATTGTGACGATGCACACTTTATCAGCGTTCGTTTTTTCATTGTAGATTCACAAAACAGATTACCTGAATGGAGGAACTGCGCTTCACTTAGCTGCCCTAAATGGCCATACTCAGTGCATCCGGCTTCTCCTCGCCGATCATATTCCTAGCATCCCTAATGCATACAGTATCTTAAAAAAAAGATCGACACACAATGAATCCGTTTCTGAATTTGATGTGGGGTATGACTGAATTTTATTTTGTTCTTTTCATTTCTGAAATAGAACCATGCTTATACCGAGCAAAGTTCCTGTATCGTTCTGTTGAACAGTTCTCTCCGTGCAATAATTAATAAACCTGCTGATGGCGGTGTCACTGCCCTTCATATGGCTGCCCTGAACGGCCATGTGGAAACCGTTCACCTCCTTCTGGAACTGGGTGCATCTGTGTCTGAGGTCACACTTCAAGATGGGGCTACGATTGATCTAATAGGTAAATATTATTTTCTTTTCTTTCTTTATTTATTTTGTGCCTAGAATGTTTGCCGAAAGTGCGCTTGATGAGCAGTAATTCGCTGAATGTTATGGTTGAGAAAACAGTTCTTCTCGTCGGTTTGATTTTTTTTTCTATTCTCTTTATACACGTTGCTTGTGCCATTTTGTGACAATTGTAAATATATTTTATGAATCTTCTGCTATTGCTCTTCAAATGATGTTGGTTTCGACGTTATTTTTTGCTGTTTGAAACATCATGATCTTGTCCTGTTGTTTTTTGGCTAATTAAAGAACAAATATAAAGGGTTTGTACTTTTGGATTTTATTTATTTATCTAGTTTTTAAGTTTTGTGTTTTTTGATTTGATTTTTTTTAGCTGAAATAATTGTTAGATTTTATATTTTGTATGAAAAATAGTTGTTGGAAGAAATCGTCCCCAGTCATTCAAATCTATCCAAATCTATGCTCTAGTTTGTTTTGTTAGTAAAACACTGTACTACTTTTTCGTATTTTTTTATGTGCCCAAAAGTATGAGCACATAATTGGATGACAGAAGAAGTATTTTTGAAGGAAAATTGAGAGATTGATAGTAAAAAGATGGAAAAAAACTCAGACCTAAAGACACCGGAGATTTCTCTCCTTTCTGCTTTGTGTTAATAATATCGCATTTTCTTCTCCTCTCCTATGCCTTAGGCGAGTATTTGTGATCAATTTCTGCATTAAATCTTGAAAATGGCTCTCTCTATTGTTTAATCTGTGCTGTCATATCATCCCCTGCAGGTGCCGGTAGCACTCCGCTCCACTATGCCGCATGCGGCGGCAATGCACAGTGTTGCCAGGTCGGTGTTTTTAACAAATTCTATCATTGTGCTTTGTCAATGTGCTGAAAAGATATGCTTTCGTTTTGGCTATTTTCAGCTTCTGATAGCCATTGGCGCCAGCCTGACTGCAGAAAATGCCAAAGGGTATGTTACTTTCTTTTTTATTTTTATTTATTTATTTTCTTTCTGTGTTTCTTTAAATGAAGCCCGCTAAAGATTAGTTTGCTTTGATCCTTTTTTATGGGTGTATGTCGTCATTTCACATTTTAAAGATTTTCTTGTAGGTTTAGTCCTTAAGAAAGCAACCGAGGCTATGGGTTGTATAAGATAATGTGTTCTTTTAGGTATGAGAAATTGTATCGAAAATAAAAAAAAATATTTTGTATTAAATCGTTGATTTCTTGCGGGCGAATATATTATATATATTGTGTTTAAATGTATATATTATATTTTTTGTAATATTTATAGGGAACCGTGCCACCTAAAAATAAGTTGGATGGATAAACCCTATATGATCTTATGTTCGTCTTCTCTTCAAATTCTTTTTATTTATCTAAGAGCAAAGGGGATTTAATCTGTGGAGAATTACTCTATTAGGCCGCGTTTGTCGATATAACTCCAGTACCTTTGAATTTATAGTCACTTGAAGGCTCATGGTTTTGTTTTTTCTCTAACTACCCTTCAAATGCCTTTTATTTAAGAGCAAAGGGGATTTAATCTGTGGAGAAAATTACTCTGTTAGGCCGCTTTTGTCGATATAACTCCAGTACCATTGAATTTATTGTCAGTTGAAGGCTCCTGGTTTTGTTTTTTTCTCTAACTACTCTATGATATGTGGTCGAAGGTGGACTCCATTGATGGTTGCTCGTTCGTGGCATAGAGATTGGCTTGAGGACATTCTAACCGAACAACGTCGGAGGCAACTAAGAGTTGGCCCTACACCTTACTTATGTCTTCCTCTCATGAGCATAATTAATATAGCTAGGTACGCTAAAAACCTATTTCGGTTTTAAGGTTTTATATTGAATTATTATCATGTTTGGCTCGAAGCAATAATCTATGCCCGGTTAAATTTGCAGAGAATGTGGATTGAAAAGTTATGATTCGCCATCCACATGCTTAGACCCGTGTGCTGTTTGTTTGGAGAGAAAATGCACCATCGTTGCCGAAGGTATGTTTTTGTTGCTTCTATAGACCAACCCTTTATTTCATTGAGATTTTTCGACTTTTTTAGTCTTGGCGCATTTATTTATAGGTTGGCTTTTATTAATTTTGTCTCGGTGCTATGTGCTTATTCAGCGAATAGTGTCTACTGTTGCAACTAACTTTAAATTGTGAGACAAAGCTGTCGAATGTGATGAAAAATTACGGGTATGTTTGCGTTTTGAGATGTTTTTGCTCATTTTGGATCGAACCTTTTGGGGTAAGAGGACCTACAATTACCCGTTATCATTTAGTGTGTTTGTTTAGTTTTTATCGTTTTAGATGTTTTTGTCATGCAGAACGGGCATATTGTGAAAATATTATAGAGAATGATGTTATCAATATGTTTGTTTAGTATTTATAGTTTTAAATATTTTTATTGCGCGGTATCGTTTTCAATTGTTCACTTGCGCGATTCAATTGTTCATCAAACGCTTTTGGGGTAAAAAATAGTGGTTGGATGCACAATATTGTGTGTATAATTCAGGCGTTGAAAATCATACTTTCGGATGGAAACAATGCTTTTTACAGTAAATTAAAGTCCAAAAAAAGATGTTGAAAATACAGTCGAAGAAAACCTACAATTAGCCGGTATCATTTAGTGTGTTTGTGTAGTTTTTATTGTTTTAGCTGTATTGGTCACTTAAGGACTGGAAATCGTGAAAGTAATATAGAGAATGATGTTATCAGTGTGTTTGTTTAGCATTTATAGTTGTAAATATTTTTATTGCGCAGTGTCGTTTTCAATTGTTCACTTGGCGATTCAATTGTTCATCGAAGGCTTTTGGGGTAAAAATAGTGGTTGGATGCACAATAGTGTATATAATTCGAGCGTTGAAAATAATACTTGTGGATGGAAACAACACTTTACAGTAAATTAAGTCCGAACAAAGACTTGAAAACACAATCGAAGAACACCTACAATTATTCCGTATCATTTAGCGTGTTTGTTTAGTTTTTATTGTTTTAGATGTTTTTGTCGTGCAGAACGGTCAAATCGTGAAAGTATTATAGAGAATGATGTTATCTGTGTATGTTATCTTTGTTTGTTTAGTATTTATAGTTTTTAAATGTTTTAATTGCACGGCATCGTTTTCAATTGTTCACTTGCCCGATTCAATTGTTCATAAAATCTACGATCTTGCTAATTTTATTTCGAAATCATCGAGGTTCAGTTTGTCTCACCGGCATTTTCCCTACCCCGTTGCAGGTTGTTCCCACCAATTCTGCACGTGCTGCGCGCTCTACCTATGCTCCACAAACACGACGCCGTCGGGGGCATCCCAAGTTCAACCCGGCTCGATCCCGTGCCCCCTCTGCCGCCACGGCATCGTTTCTTTCGCCAAACTTCCCGAAACGCATCCGGCGTCGTCCCAACCGATGGCAAGGACAAAGTCGCTGCCGTTCTGCGCGTGCTCGGGTGAAGCCCCGGAGCAGGCGGCCATGGAGACGCCGTTCTTCCCGTGCGCTCGAGGGACGCTGACCTGCCAGAGCTTCCCGGCCGTGAAGTTCAGCCCGATTCTTTGCCTCGGCGCGCCTGACGATGCCGCCAGCCCGGCCCTCGTGGCAAAATCTGGGGAGCCCGAGGCCCGGGGGATGCGGTGCTCGAGCTTCCGGAAGTCGGGTTCGCAGAACGACGGGCACCGGAGATGGCTCTGCTCATTCACTCAGACTGAAAGCAGCTACTGAGAGGCGGAGGGGAAGGTATACTATACTGTATGTATGTTAAAAATGTTACCGTCGCCTGTGAAAGTTTTTATTTTTATTTTTATTTTTTAATATATATATATATATATTTTTATATGTATATTGATTGTTATATGATGTCTCATGTCTGATTGTGAGTTTGTTGATGAAGGTGGGACATTGAAATTATTTCTTCATTTTTTAATTTATTATAGATGTCGAAGTACAAAAGACTTTGTTCCTTTAGCATACTTTTTCGATACATTTTCTAAAAAAATTAATATATTACGCAATTTTTTATACCTAACATTAAAATTAAATAATTATTTTTTACTTCTTCTGTTTCACATTTTGTGTTCGGTTTGTAAATATAAAAATTTAGGTAAAATATACTCTCTTCGTCCCAAATACCGTGCAATATTTGTGTTTGATACGAGAATTTAGGTGGGGAAAGAGAAATGATTATTTATTTTTTTTAGTTGAACGATGTGATGGAATAAAGTGAAGTATATATTAATATATATATATAAATATTATTAATTATTTCTAAATTTGGAAATGTTGCAGTGAGTTTGAAAAAAAAAAAATGAAATATTGCAGGGTGTTTGATACGGAGAGAATAATTAATAATGAATTAAAAAGTGTATGGTAATAATAATTATTGTATAATAAAATTAATTATAAGTTAAAATTAAAATAATTCAATAGTATAATTAAGATTAAAACAATTATAAAATTTAAAATGCGATTAAAGTGTATAATTATATATATTTTTTTAAAAAAGTACAAATAAGGTGAGATATATGAAAATAAAAATATTGAACGAAAAATGTGGGACGGAGATAATATTTTTTATTCTATTATAAGATTAATTTTATATTTAAAATATTACATTAATATCAAATTTCTATCTTATTATATAATTATTTAAGTTTAAAGTTTTATTATGTAAATTCAAATCCAAAAAATCAAATCCACAAACAAACATACCTTTTGTTTTTGTTATATTATGATGATTCATGAATAATAAAAATTATAAATTAAATACTTGTCTAATGTAATATAAAATCTAAATAAATACTACTTGGTTTGAGACATATTTCCTGTGATTGTTGTGTGTTTGTTTGTAGGATTTTGTCAAAATCCTATTATTCATCCAAAATTTTTTTCCCAAAAACATCAAATCAAACACCTATTTTTCATTTTTTATATTATACTAAAAATCAATTTTACATTCAAAACTTCACATCAACACCTATTTATATCACATCATATAACTATTCAAATTCAAAATTTTTACTATTCAAATCCCAATCCAAAACCCTATGTTATGTTAATATAAATAATGTGACGTATGTAATAATCTTATGTGCATGCAATCAACACTCTAAAATTTAGCACAATAACCAAATTTGATCTAGTATAGTATTTTGGGTTTGTTTGCCATAACATTTTCTTTTCAACAAGATCACAAAAATCAACATTCAACAAAAAATATTATTTTTCTATTATCAATACATTTTTTTTTATATCACATAATTTTTTTTTTCAAATCAAAACACTAAACAAATCATTTGATTTGATATAAATAAATACCATCTCCGCCCAATTTGAAAATAAACATATACTTTTGACACATGTTTAAAAAATAATAATATTTTAATTGTAATGGATAGTTAAAAGTAATTGAAAGACAATTTTATCATTACTTTTTGTATAAAAATAAAGATGTAATGATAAAATATTACTTTTTGTATAAAAGTAAAAATGTAATGATAAAATATAAGTATTTGGAAAATATATATATATTTTCGAAATAATTATTTTGTAATTGAAAAAAAAAAAAAAAAAAAAACCATACCTTGCTCCCCCTTTAACCCCCACTTAAGAGACTAGATGTATATTACTCATCCAATACACCAATTGACGAGGCTCAAAAGTCACTAAAGTGGACTAAGTAAGAGTAGGAACTCCTAGCCAGATCATTTGTCACAATAAGTCAGAAATCTCATTGTCAAATGATAACAAAAAATGTGATGCATTGTCAGAAAGATATGCCAAGTTCTACAACAGAAATCACTCTCCAATGGCAAGGGAACAAAATATTGACCTGATGAAGTCACATTGCTTCGAAAAAGGGGTTAGCCACTTCGATATCAATTACAATAGTGTCTAAAGTGCCTGCAAAAATAGGCACAACGATGAGGAATTACTCAATAAATACTTAAGAAAACAATCACGCGACTTTGACTTTCAACTATAATATTCAAATAAGACGAGAACCTCATACTGAAATGAGAATAATAGCTCAACAACCGAATCATATGCTAGATGGAATACATAAATATGCTTGCGTTGTATATCTTAAATAGAGCCCTACAACCAAGTGATAATATTTTCGAATTTTTCCAAGACTTTGAGGAACTCTTGGAGAACTCAAGAGATAGGAAGGAACAATAAGATTTCTTTGCACCGACAGACAATTAGTTGCAGTTCGCGTTTTCAACCCAATAATGAAAAGGGCATCTCGAGTATACATTTTGAAGGTCTTTCCAACTATTCCAAGAGCAACACCAAAGATCATTTGAATACTAAATAGTAACGCCAGGATCTACAACATTTCAAAGTTCAAATTATTCCAGAATGATACATACTAAATAGACGAAGAAAATATGTTAGGATTATGTTACAATTTACATAGTAAACTACACTTGGCATTCAATCATATCTAGTGTAGATATGTATGTACATACATAAACATTAGACTTTATTCTTTTGAAGTTTGATTTAAGTCTTTATGTACGGCCATCACATTTCCTTATAAGCATATGTTATTTTCTCACACAAAATATCATATCCAACTACCATTCAAAACAAAAATCAAAATAAAAACACAAAAGCAAACTTTAAAAGAATGCACAGCAATACAATTCCATCTAATTATATATTTAAAAAAGATAAAGAAAAAGAAAAAAAAAAAAAAGAAGAGATTATTGAGGAGATGAAGGATCTAAAACAAGAGAGCAAAATGAGAAATTGAGATGCCTGTGTGATTAACCATGTGCAGAGCATATTTAATTTTTTTTTTTCATTGGATTAATTATAAAAAGAACCCAAGACTATGAAAATATCATCTAAATTACAAAACTTGTGGTGTAACTAATGATTACTCCAAATCACATCTTTAAATGACACAAATGTAAATAAACTCACCTAAACTTCTTAATAACTACTGCATTTGTCCTAATTTGTTTGCTAGTATTTCTATTTTGAGATGTTTCAAAATATTTGTAACTTTCTTTATCCCCATTTTCCTCTTTTACCCCTAACAATACAATTTACAAAATCACCACAAAAAATAAGAACAAAATGGTCAAAAACTATCAAAATTATACAATTTAAAAAGCCATGCAAAAACAAAAAACTAGCAATTAATTTGTGACGGTGGTAGTATAATATAGCTCTTTGCATCATATCAATGCTCATTATTTCAAGTTGGTTATGATCACCTATCATTTTCTTTATAATTTATAATAACTCACAGAGTTGTTAGAATTAACAAAAGCATGTAAGCAATTTAACATAGATGTTTCATGTATCTCAAATTAAATTTAATAATTGGCACATTCATGCAAATTTAAATCATCGCCTAAGATAAGGGCGATATTTAAATACTCACTTCTCATTGGCCTAAAAGTTTAGGGTTAGATTGTTTGGCATTTCATACAGTACAAACACTATACATCTCAAAATTATCTCAAAAAATTTCCTCAAGATAGAATCCACCTACAATCTGCTATTTCTATCTCCTAAAACTATAATATATTTGATCACACATAGATATAAATATGAAAATTTCCATATTAATATATTTCAATTTTTATATTACCTACACTTCCTCGTATCTAACATAATAAATACTTCGAACCAAAGACACAAAACAAACATACCTCTATTGTAAATCAAATATAGCTCAATACTTAAACAAACATCTCATCACCTCATTCAAAATTAAAAATCCCCCCAAAACTCAAAAACCATCTGAGATTCCAAACATACATCGATAACTTTATCCAATAAAATTCACGCGCAATGAAAACAAACAGAGCAGGCAGAATAGTAACTCAAAAAACCTGAACATGAAAAAGACAATGAAATTTGAGTCTATTTCAACATAAAGCTCATGAGTTGGTAAGAACAAGCATGAACAATCAGTGATCATCATTTAATACCTCATTTAACAATCACGAAAACCATACACAACAATTGATGCTTGAAGTTCCCGATCCACTTTGAAGTGAGCATGAAAGAATCTTTTGATCTGCGGGTTAAAAATCCAGTATGCAACCACATCAATCTAAGAATCAGGGAAGAATCCTTACACATTCACAGCACCAAAAAGATAAGAAAAAAGGAGATGCTTGAATGTCAGACCTCAGAGAAATTATGTGAGTGTAGGAACTCCTTGAGTAGATTTTCTTGCGAATCAAATAATACAATGTGGCTAGGTCGAGTCCAATTTTGTGCAAATCTTGTTGCAAAGTCTAAAGGGTTGGCTAGAAATTGGTCAGACTCATCCATTGTTACCCTTTCTTCGCTGCGTACAAATTTGATAAATAAATATGAGCCAGATATCGTTTAAACAATATATCCAAACATTCAAGTGTTTCTGCTAAGGATGAACATGGACGAAAACCCTTGATTAGATAAATGCCCTAGATTCATAGCCACATTTCGTGAATAGGATAGAATAATTCATGTGTATAACACTTTACACTTCAGTTCAATGTTTGGACCATGTTTACAATGCATTTCAGATAAATGTATAATATTATCCAACATAATCATGTGTATCTTTAATATGTAAGGTCCTAATCAATCCTAGGTCAGGCTATTAATGTGCTAATTTGTGCTTATATTATGAGATAGTGAGAAATGAATTATGCGTGTAGGGAGGAGTACCTTGGAGTACAATCCAGGAAACACATAGGAATGTTTTGGTGTAAAGTTGAATAGTATGGTGTTGCATGGCAAGGTGTTAGAAAGAGGATATGATTGATCGTATTTTCTTTGTCTCGAACAGCCTCAGAGAGGTAGTTCATGACATCTTCGGCTCCTCTCTGGGTTAAATAGAACGCATACACAAAAATATCAAAGGCATATATATGTATATTACTGATTTTGACACATACATATACATAAATAAATGATAAAGCAGTATAACTACAATGCAGTATTTATACTATATATTTTGATAAACTTATAAAAAGAAAAATAAAAAAATAAAAGAAAATAAAATAAAATAGACCAGAATACCCCATCAAACAAAACGTTAAAAGAACCTCCTATTGTTTTTGTACTGCAAATTACCTTTCTTCAAGGAGTTGGTTATTTTTTATTTTAGACATAGCATAAAAGGATTAATCGGTTATCATTAGAAGTTGAAATAGACAAAATTCAATTCAAATACAATTTGAAAGAAGTAGGATTCAAAATCCTTTCATTTCTAATAGTGTGTTACTTTGTGTTTTTATATGTACGTATTTTTTATGTTAAGTATGAGTAATCGTATTAGTAATGTAAAAAGTAATATTTTGTATTGAGTTGTTGACTTTTTGTGAGTAGATAAATATATGTTGTGTTAATGTGTGTCTATATTGTATTTTTTTTTTTCGTAATATTTATGGGGCATTGTGCCATCAAAAAATTGTTGGGTGAACGAAAGTATGTTTGTTACTATTCAATTCTCTAGTTCGTCTCACAATTACTTTCTAGAACTGGTGTAAGCAATACATGCAGTAAGAGATTCATGCATCTCATTTTTATTATTTTCTCAAAGAATAAAATGAGTAAATAAAGCCATCATACACATAATCCCAATTAGCACATAAAAGATTTCATATTTAATAGGAACAATTCAACGTTTACCCTACCTATTCTTATATTTAATAATTATTTAAAATTTAGAAGCAAAGTGATCAAATAGGAATAACACTATAAAACATACTATAAAATAAAAAAAGAAAATACAAATTAAATTTAAACAAAGTGGGGAAAGAAAGAAATTAAGCCTTTAGTTATAATATACTCCTTTTGTCATCAAAATTTATTTCACTTTTCATGCAGATGAATAAAGAAATTCATGACACGATGAATAAAGAAGATGAATATAGAAATTCATGCTACATCAAGATCATGAATTGCAAGAGAAGAGTAACCTTGTACCTGATGAACCATACTCATATATATTGCCATTGGAGCATTTGTGACAAGCAAGAATAAGAGTGCCATTTTCAGCTTGCGAGAGTGCTTGACACGATAGCCCACACCTCCATTCACTTTCTTTTTTGCGAGCTCACATTGTCCAAGTTCAGATAATGAATATCCGGAAAACATTAGTGCTATAGGAAGCACGGGAAGAACGAACCTGATATTTTGAGTCTGAAGATAATGAGAGGTATTAAAAGACAATGTACTAAAAGCACTGTATATAGACATATTGTGCACACAAACTAAAAGTAAGCAAAGCACCTGAATTCTTTGTGGCCAAGAAGACTATATACTCCCAAAACCCATGCAATTAAACCAGCAAGCTTCCACTCTTTCGATTCAACAATGCCAGCTATGGAAAATGGTATGAATGTAAAAAGCATGACGGTAAATCCTTGGGTCATGTACCAATGCCATGGATGCGTCCCGTAATAGTCTCCACCAGAGGAAAAGAAATTGAACTTCATGAAATTAAGAGGGACAACGACCCATGACCCGTATAATAGATAATCCAATAAGAATGTGAGACCAAGCACAAGCGCCCTGATACATGCATTTGGAGGATACAATATGTATTCCAGATTTCAGAACACATGTACAGTGAATCAGACGAAATAAGAAGTAAAATTATGATCCAAATTCCAATGGATAAATAAAAGCCAAAAAGTAAAATAAGATTCAGAAAAGAAATTAAAACCATGGTCCACAGAGAAAATGCTGCCAATAGGCATCTTCTAGTAAGGTATTAGAAAAGGAAACAATGAAGAATAAAGAATTCATTAATTGCTATAGTTACATGTCAAGAATGTTAAGCACTGATCCAATAGCCCCGAAGACAAGTAAAATATATAAGAGGATAAAATTGCACTTTCATTGTCATAAAATTTAATATTATTACTATTATTGTTATTATTATTAATATTTTAACTAACTACATTAGTAGATCAAATTTTTAGTAATTTCATATTTTATTATTTAGGTTTCAAGGCATTAAATATTCATGGGACACATGTTGCATGAGACACACCGCAGTCAGGTATATTAGATTTCATGTCATACTTCTTTTGTTAATCTGAAAACCTAAGAAATCTATTGGACTAAAGTTACTAGACATAACTATCCTAGCAATAAACTTTGAACAATAAGATAAAAATGAACTATGTCATAGAAATAAATTGCTTGCAGAACCTACAGTAAAGTTTTTCCAAATAAGGGAAATAAGCAAAAGAAACAGCAAGAAGAAAACATAAGGGGCAGTTGACTTACTAACCCAATTGGAACCACTTCAAGACAAACAAATTTTAGCTTGTTGCGTGTCGTGAACAGCTCTAGAATGCCAATATAAATCCATGTGATCGCGCTTGTTGGCCGGATAGCACATGCTACAGCTGCTGCCAACAATGCACAATATCTATAACCTGATGGAACTGCACTTGGAGACGGTCTCAAGCAGGGCCAATAGTATAAACTAACAAGCGTTAAAACTGTCTCCAAACTATTTGACAATGTTCGATTGATGCAGAAAAACATGAACCAGTTGGTTAGCTGCGCAAATAACTGCAACAGAGTTAAGTAACTACAAAATGTTATCTATTCATCAATCAAATAAGCAATAAGAAAACCATAAAACTGTCGAGGGAAAGTTCAACGGAAGAAAAGAAAAAGGCATTGTATATGCAGTGTAAGGATACAGCCCAAATTGCAGAACTATCTCCAAACAAAACACGCGAAAGTTTGTACAGGTACAGATCACCTATGGCAGAAATCATGGACTGGAATAACCGTGGAGCTCTTATCTGTGGAAGACGATAAAAATTGACACATATTCATATTGCAAAAACATAACACTGCTACTCAAACAATACATCATAATCAATCTATAAAATTGCATAAATAATTATTCAAGAAATAAAAACATTGTGTCTTTTCATTACATAGGATCACAATAGTAAACTAATAAATTAATCAAATTCTAATCATATCATTCCTCCAAATTCTGACACAGCAAAATCTGAAGAAAAATCCTAAAGAAACACATATCACAAAAAAATTTGTACTAAATATATCAAAGAACAAATGCAGTTTTAGTCCAACAATGAGCTAGTATGTGCAATATTAGTCCCATAATATATATATATATATATATATGCAAAAATTGGTTCCATGTCGAATGAATTCAAGCAAAATTCATCTTTCTATTATAATTTTAACGAACATTAAATACGACCATGTACATACCCATGGCCATGACAATGTATCTCAAGTCTTAGTCGTGTTACTTGTTACATGGCCATGTGTCTAAGAACACGGTCGTATATGTCAAAACAACAGTCATGGTACTTAATACATAGCCGTATATTAAGTAGCATGGTAGCACTGTCAAGTTTTTTAGATATGCATTCTTTTATTAAGAAACATGGCTGTGTTTTTTAAATGGACAATCATGTATAAATAACATGGTCGTACGACGTCTTTATTGCACAGATGCTCCCATAATTCGTCTTTAATGCACAGATGCTCCCATAATTCGTTTGAAATAGAACCGATTGTATGTATACATACATACATACATATATATATATATATAAAGATCATGGGACTACTAGTTTTGCTCAGGCCCACTGAACTAAAATTGCAATTAAAAGATTGTTTTTTCCAAAAACAAATCATCGACACTCTCCTCAGCAAAGAAAAGCAAGAAACACACGATTACCATGAACCAAGGAGAATCCAGTCGGAGAAATGCCAGAGCTTTATAAAGAGCTGCAAACAGAAGCGGATGCAAGTAACTCCTTATACCTTTTCTCCATTCCCACGTCAAATGACCATACCTGAAATATCAAATTTCATTTAAAAATAATAATAATAATACTAATAATAACAAAAAGAACAAAAATGGGAAAGATTAGCAGAGCCTGGCTTAGAACGAAACTGCTAATGTTCGCATCTCCCCTCACCCAAATGCAATGCGATGGGCTACTTCAAGTGCCTGCCAGTGCTCGTCCGGGTTGAAATATGTTTGCACAAGCAACGAATTAATCATTCGCATAGCCAAACACAGGGCGAATACTCTAGCCAGAGATGGGGAAGAATCATCGAGCTTAGGGCTTTGGGAATTAAATTCGTTGCCTCTATCACCGTCGGACGGCGATTCGATTGGAGCGGTTCTCCTGCGTAACATTCCCTCAACTTCCAACTTCCAACTTCCAACTTCCAGAGTCCTGCGCCGCGATGCGATCGGAAGGGGCGATTTTGGGTGAACATTCAGAAGCTAATCAAGTCGGGTCAGAATAGACTTGACATCCAGTTCCGAACCGCCGGTTGGTTCAAACCGAAATCGATCCAACGGTTCGGTTTCGGCTTAGCCGCGAACCGCTGATTTACGTTTGAACCGGCGGTTTGGAAAGAAAAAAACCTGGTTCGGCTGCGGCGGACCACTAGAGGAGAAGGAAAGAAGAAGAAACGAAAAGATTGAGAAAGAAAGAAGAAGATGGGGAAAAACCTTCTGCGGCTGCCGCCGCGGCGGCGGCGGCGGCGGCGGCTAAGGGGATGTATCAGCCATTAGGCAAAATTGTATTTATAAATTATCTTATAATACAAATAATTATATATTAAAGACTATGATAACTAATTATTTTGATTAAAATTTAAAATTTTAAAATAAAATTAAAATGTATAATTAATTTTTTTAAAAAAAAATAAATAAAAATAAAAAACTTGGCATGATAAGTGAGATTGTATTTTATAATAATAATATATTTATAATTAAAATTATTATCTACACCATATTATTATTAAATTGTTATAAAAGTAAAAATAATTTTAATATTATTAATAATAAGTCATTATTAATATATAGAATACTAATAATAATATAATACTCCCTTCATCCCAAAACTATAACTTTGGTTGTGTTGGATATTGGATTTAAGAAATATTGATATTATATTAACAATATGAGTAAAAACTTCTTTGCCATTGTGAGTATTAGTGTAATAATAGTGACAATTGTTTAATAATAATAAAAAAATAAGAGTACTTTTATAGTGATAATTGTTATTTATGAAAATAAGACTATTGCTTTTTTAGACGAACAAATATAGTAAATATGATTATTGTACTGGGACGGAGGGAGTATTATTTTTATATTTATATTTTATAATTTTTTATTATATAGGTATATTTAATGTAAATTATTTTATTTTTTAATACATTGATATTTTATAATTTATTTTTATTTATTTTAATCTAAAATTTAATTAATTACTTACTTAAATTTATTATTTTAATTATTTTTATATAGTAATAATTTAATTAATTATGATTTATAAAATGTTTATACAATAAAAATTCTAAATATATATTTAAATAAAATTAAAAAATTAAAATCAAAATTAATTATTTATGAATAAAATTTAAATTTTAAAAAATAGGGAATAAAAAAAAAATATTTAAAATAAACATACATAAAATGACCGTTCAAATTGTAACCGTTTGTTTTAATATCGTAAATGAAATATTCATTCAGAATGTTTGATTTTGATTTGATATTTTAAAAAATTATAACCGACGATTTATAACAGTAATAGTAACTGACGGTTTGAACCATTTGAACAAGTTTACTCTAAGCTAATCAAGTTGGATCGGATTAAATATAAATTTTTTAAATTGAAATAGATATATATATATATTTATATATATTAAAAAGTTAATATTATTTATTTATTTATTTAAAAATATGTATAATTTCTTTATTTATCATTAATATAGTATTATTTTATTTATTTTGATTGTTTACAATTAATATATTTTAATTTAATAAAAATAATTTATATATATATTATATGGCTTCGGCTACCGCTGCCGAATAATATTCAATATACTAACAAACAACAAATAGGTTTACTATTGATTGTACATTATTTGTATTAATATAATACAAATATAATACATCATATATAATAATTGATTTTAGTATATAATATACCCTTATATAACACAAGTTGTAATTATAAACAAATATGACATGACTTTATTATAAACCGTACATACTCTATGTAACAAAGACAAACTGTTTCTATATCTTCTGTCTGTTATTTTAAAAAATCAACATCGTAATCGTTTACATAATCTATATATATAGGTTTATTTAGGACAAATTTTTACTTAAAAAAAATATATTCATTGACTTATTTATTCAGTCTCAAATAGAAATAAATAAAATGCCCATATTGTGGCTTTTTTTAAAAAATACATCTCCATTAATTCTAAAATAAAGTTTGTGTAATTTTTTTCTATTATAATAATAAAAAAAAATTCTTCTAAAAATAACTGGTTTTATTATTATTTTTTTCTTACCTAAAATCACTGTGTTTGCTCTAATGGGATTCACCAAATTCGATCCGAATTTAAAGTGTGTTTCTTTTGAGATAGTTAAAAAAAAATTGAGTTTGAGTTTAAGCTTAGAGTAGATCTGAATTTTAAAATAAGTTCGAATCTTTGTGTTATTTAGGTTTGTAGGTTGAAAATAAGAAAAAAATAAGCATGAGTGTGCAAAATAGATGGAATTCGACGTTCTTGATGTATGATATTGCTTTATCTTTGAAGAAAACATTTACTTGTTTTGAAAAAATAAATAGAGATTATAAATTCAGTCTTTTATAAAGTGATTGAAAAGTGGTGAGGTTAATGCGTAATTACTTGAAAGATTCTATGATGCTACTTGTAATTATGGCAGAAGCAATTTTCTTACATTCAATATTTTTTATTTGTATATGCGATTTGCGAATTCGAATGAAACAGTAAAAATCGAGTAACGTTAGTTTTTTAAGTGAAATAACTATCCCTAAAATAAGGTTTGAAGAATATTGAGAGGAATGTTCTTTGTTGTTGTAAATTGCAATAGTACTTGACCCAATCTTTAAGCATGCATTGGTATAATATGATTATAAAAAAAATCTATGGAAAAAATAAAACAAGTTATAAAAATATGATCCAAATAACATTGAATAATTTGTTCATTGAGTTTGAAGGTGATCTTACTTATACTTTTCAAGACACATAGACAACTTTGAGGGGAAACATTGTGAGCACATGAACTATAATTGCAAGAAGAAATATACATTGCGAGATTTTCATAGTTGGCATAAAATTGCTCATTTATCTACTTTATTTTTTGTCTAGAAGCCTGAATAAAATCCGAATAGCATGTCTTTCCTAAAACAAATTATTTTAATATGTAGAATTAGTGAAAAACAAATACTCCAAAATTTTCTATTCCTAAAAAAATTGTAAGTGACATTCTTGAATGAGTGATCGATGAAAATCATACTTGTTTGATTCCTTATATTCTTAAAACATTCGTAATAATTGGTAACAAAAAAAAAGTTATTATTTATAATATTCAAATACTTAAATTTAAAAAAGATTGATTTAAGAATTTGAAACATACAATTTTTATGCAATGATATTTTTCAAGGCATATTGAAAAATATTCAGACACTTGTTCAAAATTTAAAAGTTCAAAAATTAACATGATCTTTGAGGTTTATAGTATATTCACTTATCTTAAATTTTATTGTTTTTAAATGGTTAAAGACCAATAAAAATGTAATTATGACATATATTTACACATTTTCCGCAATTTGACTAATTACCCGTATACTAACTAATATTATTCTGAACAAAATTTGATGGGTGTTAAATATTTACTTAGATACCCAAAAGTATGTAATTTATTTAAAGTCATAAAGTCTTTTACATAATCAACTTTGTTTGAAAATATCACTAAAATTGATATTTTTTAATACTACGAGTACACTTTTGTTATAATTGTATTACTCCAAAAGTGCAAAAGTGTAGGTGACTGAACTTTTTGTGTTATAATGCTTGAGGATAGAGTTGGAGATGTTGTCTTCTTTTGTCCCCTAGATTTGAGTGGCGAAATTCTAGTTTTTTAAGCTGTAGTTTGAAATTTTATTGAAACAATTCTTAATAAGGATGTTGTGACGGATTAGAGTTAATGATCGAATAACAAAAAAAAAAAACGTAAAGAAGACACAAATTTACGTGATTCATCGACAACGTGTTGGCTATATCTACGAGCATGAACATATAACATATTTCATTGAGGATGGCTAGGTTTTTGTATCCCTAAGTCTATCTAAATAAATCAAGAGAATACATCAAACGGACTCAACCCAATGCCAACTCCAAAGCCCCGTGAAGACTCGGCAAAGTGGCAAATTAGATTCAAAGCAATTAGCAATGGATGCTTAATCGATGTAACCTTTAGAGTCACTAAAAATGTTCTACGTTTGTATGAATCTTGTTATGTTTGAAATTTTTATAGTTTGTTTTGATATTTAAAATATGGTCATTCTAAAATCTATTTCGAATTGTTGTATTATTCTATTTGGGGTTTTTATTCTTTAATTTGACGAGTTTGTGTATTTAAAATTCTATTTAGTCTATATCTTTAGCATTATAATATATTATATTATTAGTTAGATGATATTTTTTATATTTAAATTGCAAGCAATGTTTGATTAAATTCAATTAATGAAATTTTACATATATTTGTGGGAATTATGTATTGATCTTAATGCAGATCTGAACAGATTCTTAGAAAGGTATCATATAATCGAATCCAACCGGATCGAATCCGGTGAACATTTTTTAAGTTCTCGCATATTGGAATAAAATATCTGTAGTTGCAAAATAAAATTAATCTCTGCAGTCATTTAGTAATCAGTTAGAGTTTGAAAGTTTCTCCTAGTCAATATTCTGTTCCTATTTTTGTGTTTTTTTTTTATCAATACTCATTATGTAGGCTATTTAAAGCTAAGTTCTTCTTACGAAATAAGATTGATCTTGGTTCTGGAATTCGAATGCAGTGTTCTTCTTTAATCCATCAATTGGTATCAGAGAAAATATTCTAAATACATTACACTTTAGTGAACAACATACAAGTGGTTGAGGGATGGCGATTGACTCAAGCAACTTCCAAAATCCTTGTGTACCGAAGTTCGATGAAGACAATGATCATTGGATTTTGGTCATGGAAAACTTGCTTCGATCAAAAGAATATTGGAGTGTGGTCGAAGGAAGATATACGGAACCGGGATCCGAAGAGCTGACAACCATTCAACAGAAGGCCTTGGATGAAGCCAAGCTCAAAGACTTGAAGGCACAAAACTATTTTTTTCAAGCTCTTGATAAGACTATCTTGAAGACTATCACCCATAAGGCAACGGCGAAGAAGCTATAGAATTCAATGAAAGCTAAGTACCAAAGAAGTGCAAGATTGAAAAGGACTCAGTTGCAACGGTTTCGAAGGAAGTTCGAAACCTTGGAGATGAAGACAGGAAAATCAGTGACTGATTATTTTGGACGAGTCATGATTGTTTCTAACGATATAAGAAATTGTGGAAAATATATGAATGATGTGAAGATCGTCGAAAAGATCCTTCGAACACTGACAAAAAATTTCAATTTTGTCATGTGTTCTATTGAGGAGTCGAAGGACATTGATAAATTGATGGTCGATGAGTTACAAAGTTCACTATTGATCCATGAACAAAAGGTGAGACAAAGTGAAAGTAATGAGCAAGTTTGAAAGGTTGAACATGGCTCCAGTCCTGGTCGTGGTCGAGGAAGAGCGAGTAATCGTGGGTGAGGAAGAGGAAGAGGGAGATCTGATTTCGATAAATCTCTCATTGAATGCTACATGTGTCAGAAGCTTGGATACTTTCAATACGAGTGTCCTATTGGGGAACGAAGAGCAACAAATTATGTTGAATTTAATGAAGGGGATGAATTGCTATTGATGGCCTATGTTGAGATAAATAATGCGAGTAAAGGGATATGGTTTCTTGACTCAGGTTGTTCTAACCATATGACAGGTTCAAATGAGTGGTTCGTTCAACTTGATGAAGGTTTTAGTCATATTGTCAAGCTAGGAAACAATTCAAGACTGACAGTCAAAGGCAAAGGAAATATTAGATTTGAGGCAGAATAATTCAAGCCATCATAGACGTTTACTTTGTACCTGAACTTATAACCAATATGTTGAGTTTTGGGCAACTACAAGAAAAAGGAATGACTTTCGTCATTACAACATGTGCATGCAAAGTATACCATCCACAAAAGGGTTGATTGTAGTCTCTCAAATGACAACTAACCGAATGTTTACAATATCTGCAACTATGAAACCGCCTTTAACTCGATGTTTCAAGGTCGATGATGAAGACACACAACTTTAGCACAGGCGCTATAGGCATGTAAACTGCCACACTATCAAGAGAATGCAACACAAGAACATGGTGAAAGGACTATCTCGAGTGAATGAGCAGACCAAAGTGTGTGAAGTATGCAACAATGGGAAACAACATCGAAAAACCATACCCAAGAAAAGTACATGGAGAGCATCTGAGAAGCTTTAGCTCATTCACATGGATCTTTGTGGGCCCATATCCTCTACCTTCTTAAGCGGCAAAAGGTACATCTTCGTACTTTTTGACGATTTTTTACGTAAAACGTGATTATATTTCCTTTCCGAATAGAATGAAGCATTTGAAATTTAAAGTGTTTAGGAATTTCAAGACTCTAGTAGAAAAGGAAACAGGAAAACCCATTTTCGGATTAAGAAGTGATAGGGGATGAGAATTCACATATAATGAGTTTAATCAATTCTGTGAATTACACGGGATTAAAAGGCAAGTAACTGCTGCTTACATTCCCTAAAAATGGTGTGGTCGAATGTAAGAATCGGACTATAATTAACATGGTTCGATGCTTTCTAGCAGAGATCGGAATGCCCAAATACTTTTGGGAGAAACAGCAAACTGGGCATGCCATGTACTAAACAGGTGTTTCACAAGTGCTCTTAATGACATGGTGCTGGAGGAATGCTGGAGTGGAATAAAGCCGAGTGTGGATTAATTTTGGGTGTTTGGTTGCATTGGGCATGTGCTCATACCCAAGGAACAAATAATTGAACTCGGTACTAGAAGCCATAAGTGTGTCCTCCTTGGGGTGACCTTTGAATCAAAGACATATAGATTATTTGATCCAATCTAGAGAAAGATAATAATAAGTCGAGATGTTATCTTTGACGAAGATTCAAAGTGGGATTGGAATGCAGATGAAGTTAATATAGGCAGCGAACAATTGGTTTGGGAAGAAGAATAAAAGCTAGCAACTGAAGATGTTCGGGATGAAGCAGAACCCCTGAATAACACTAAAGAAGGAATAGAAGATCATGAAGAACCTGAAAACACAACAAAATTAGCAAGAAAAGTTAGAAAAGAACCAATCTGGATGGGTGATTATCAAAGTGGAGAAGGCTTATCAAATGAGAATGAGGGTTTTGCGATGTTTAGTTCTCTTAACGATCCGGTAAACTTCGAGGAGGCTGTCAAAGAAGAAAAATGGGTGAAAGCAATGGAAAGTGAACTACAAGCCATTGAGAGAAACAAAACATGGGAACTTGTAGATTTACCCGAAGATGCAAAGATAATTGGAGTAAAATGGGTCTTCAAGACCAAGCTAAATGAGAATGGGGAAGTCGAAAAATACAAGGCCAGGTTGGTTGTAAAAGGATATGCCCAAAGGAAGGGAGTCGACTGCGATGAAGCGTTTGCACCGATGGCACGATAGGATACCATGCGAACACTGCTTGTTGTGGCTGCTCAAAGAAATTAGGTAGTATATCAGCTCGATGTGAAAAGTGCCTTCCTATATGGTAAACTTAAAGAGGTTGTGTACGTCAATCATCCACAATGGTTCGTTAAAATGGACGAAGAACACAAAGTTTATCGTTTAAATAAAGCCCTATATGGACTGAAACAGGCCCCAAGAGCTTGGTTCAGTCGAGTTGAGGGTTATTTTAAACGCGAAGGATTCACAAAGAGCAGCCACGATCACACCTTATTCATAAAAGACATAAGAGAAATGCTTATCATAGTGAGCCTTTATGTCGATCTAATTTACGTAGGAAATAACCATGCACTCTGTGAGAATTTTAAGAGATCAATGCAACAAAATTTTGAGATGACAGATATGGGCATGATGAGATTCTTCCTTGGTGTGGAAGTTTATCAAAACAATAAAGGAATTCACCTATGTCAGCGAAAGTACGCACGAGATGTACTTGAGAGATTTAGAATGTGGAATTGTAATCCAGTTAAGAATCCCATTGTTCCTGGAACAATTCTCCTGAAAGATGGAAAAAGGAACAAAAATTAGTGGGCAGCTTAATGTATCTCACAGTTACACATCCCGATCTAGTGTATGTGGCCTATTTGAAATCTAGGTTCATGGATAAACCGAGGGAAGAACACATGAAGATAGCAAAGAGGGTATTGAGGTATTTGAAGGGCACACTTAACTATGGTCTCTGGTATAAAAAGAATTCTTCCACTAAACTCAAGGCGTACACCGATAGCGACTATGCAAGAGACATTGAAGACAGAAGATGCACATCGGGCTATGTTTTTCTCTTAAGCGGAGCAACAACATGTTGGAGCTCAAGAAAGCAACCTATTGTTACATTGTCGTCAACGGAAGCTGAATATGTGGTTGCAACCTCGTGTGCATGCCACTGTATTTGAATACGAGGACTGCTCAATGATATCAAGGAAAAACAAAAATAAAAGTGAGTGTTTTGCGACAACAACTCAACTATCAAGCTGTCCAAAAATCCTGTGATGCACAAAAGGACTAAGCACATCGATGTTAGATACCATTACTTACGAGAGCTTGTGAATCAAAGAGTGGTGAAGTTAGTATTCTATGGTACTGAAGATCCAATTGCAGATATAATGTAAGCCATTGATGTTGGATGCATTCACCAAGCTGATGAGTTTACTTGGAGTTCAAGCACAAGAAGTTTAAACTAATGCTTCATGAAACATTTCAGTTTAAAGGGAGGAATTGTTTGAATAAAGTACCTGCAGTTGCAAAATAAAATTAATCTCTCAATATTATGTTCCTATTTTTATGTTTTCTGTATTAGTGCATTACTCATTAGGCTATTTAAAGCTAAGTCTTTCCTACAAAATAAGATTGATCTTGGTTTTGGAATTCGAGCGAAATGTTCTTATTTAATCCATCATCGCATTATTGAAACTTAATCTATGAAGTGAATTGAAAGGTCGGATTCAAATCTGAAAATTTAGAATTCGGATAGGATCCGACCCATTTACAAACATCTTTCTATATATTTTGTTTGTAAGTGTTCAATCCAAATTTTATAGTTCACTGTTGCTTTTTCCATTAAAAAATCAAATCAATTTCTATTTTAAATTTTTTATATTATATTTAAAATTAATTTAAAATTTTACATTAAACACTTATTTAAATTCAAAATTTTATTATTCAAAACCTCAAAATCCAACTCCAAAACCCATAAACAAACTAGACCCCAAAATGCGTGTAGGCTTATTCAATACATGCAATGGTACCCAACCAACAAGATTTAAAAACACCAATTCTTCATATGTACATTCATAATTAACTACATTCTTCTATTGCATATCTAACTTCCTAAATCATCTAAACAAACACAAATTTCCAAAGACATCAAATATTTCTAACACAACAAACTGTTAAATGAATGACATAAAATATTATTAAAAAGACCTAATCAATAATTTCTTGAGTATCCAAACCCTTTGTAGCTACAACAGCAGCAGCAATGTGTCTCATTACATCCACTTGAACCCTAAGTGAAGCAACATAATCTAGGGTTTCTTTAATCAAACAAACTTCATCCATGTCATGTCCACCCGGTACAAGTCCTTTAAGCACAAGGGTTCGATTCTTCACAACTTTTCGGGCCCGAAGGACCGATTTCATTCTCCGGGGTACCACTCTCCGCCTTGATTTCACCTTCTTACAAGCGCATGTTAGAATACCTCGAGTTCTTTGGAAATTCTTATTATTCTTACATTTATAATTGTTTGTCGAGACATTCTTGCTAATTTCCTCGCTTGTTAATATGTGTTTTTCCATTGTAGCACCGGCCATTGTTGCGCGGCTCCAATGAGTGGTCGGGTTTCTTGTGGAAGCAATGGCCATGTCCGCGGATAGTTTTATCGCTCTTTTCCTTTCCAAAATGGTCATTTTTGTTTTGAATTTGTTGTATATTTTGAGACAATTTAGCCATTTCTTGAGGAAATCTTGCTTTACAAATGCTGATGAATTATGCATTGATCTGCAGGTTGTTTTGGACACAATTGGAGAAAATTATGTTACCGATTCAATTCTTACACAAGATTCAAACAAATAATATAGACAAGAGCGTGAGCGTGCAACGAACAAACATAGAGCATTTTTATTCAATTTAGATTGTTTTCAATAAAAATATATTATTTTTTTATACAAAATATTTAAAAATAAAGAATAAATATATATTAATAACACTTACACAATTCTTGATTACTATCAACAAAAATTTTAAAAGATCATAAAAACAAAAAGAACAAAACAATAGTTTCTTCATATATTAACCCAAAAAATGTGAGGAAATTTTATTCAAATACAAATTAAATTACTCATTAGGCATTTTATTGCTTCACAAATCTAAAATCAGACTTTATTCAATACATCTTCTTCCCCAATATTTATTAAACTATATAGTGTCTGCTCTTTTGTGTTTTGATTTAAAGAGTGAATGATTTAATGTTGTGAGAAGAAATAATACTTCCTCCATTTCAAAACAATACTCTAATTTTCATAAATAATCGTATCATTATAAAATTATTTTTATTTTTTCATTATCATTATACATTATTTTTTACACAAATACACAAATATTTTAGTCTTTGACTATATACTTTAAACCAATTTTCAATATAATATTATTATTTCTTAATTAAATTTCATGCCGAATCCAAATGGTCTTATTATTTCGGGACAAAAGAGTATATTTTTATTAAAAGAAAATAATAACCGACTAATAAAAATACTGAAAATAAACTCCAAAGAAACAGACGTATAATTATAACGACTATTACAAAATTACAACCCACATATTTGAAATCGAAATCGAAACACTTGCAAATGTTTGGCTATCAACCTCAAAAACACATTGAAATAGTGAAAGTAACCATTTGAAATTTCGACAAGCTTAATCAAATTGTTATCATACATATATATATATATATATATAAATATCGATTCCAAAGGTTGAATGAAATTAGATAACAAAACTATATTGATACATATGATTATAAAAAACCTGCATACCTTGTCATGACAGAGCTGCAATTAACCTGTGAAGAAACTTCTGATAATCCAAAAACAAACAAAATTTCAGAGAGAGGGAGAGGTAGAGAGAGAGAGAGAGAGAAAGAGAGATGAATGATGAGAGGAGGAAATTGCAGAAGGGTAAGAGGGATCGGAAATCTATTTAATTTGAAGAATGAATGAAGGATGGGGCCATGGCCATGAATGGAAGACACAGCACATGCTGGCACATGCAGCTAACCCTAGCTAAAGGAAGAGGAGAGAATCTTCTACTTAATGCTTGCTTCTTTAATTTGAGGACAAACAGATATATACATATATATATATATATATATTATTACAAACACCTTATTTCCTCTCCACTCTCTTTCCAACCATATTATCCAAACCAGCCAAGAAGCATTAGTAATTTGCTGAGGGAGAAAAAAAACAAAAAAAACAAAAAGATTAAGATGTATTGTGGGGTTTGAGTTTTTATGTATGGATTTTGAAAATTAAAATCTTGAATTAAAATATTTGTTTAATATGATATTTATATTTAAAATTTATTTTTAAAATAATAACAAGAAATAAATGTTTAGTTTTATGTTTTTTTTTTCTTTACTTTTTTAAAAAAAAGTTGATGAATATTAAAAAGTTTAAGGTAAACTATTTTTCTAATGTAGTATGTAACCCATATTATTATTTTTAGAATTTTAAAGGGACTTTGTATAAAAACTGTTAGTTTCGCTTCTTTTTTTTTTTTTTTTTTTTTTTCAGAAATAATCTTTGGTTACCAAAATTGATGCACCGATAATGTGACTCGTCGATATTGATTTGGCGCTGACGTGTTAGACACATCAGCACCACTTGGGTGACAAGTGGATTAAAAAATATTCAATTTTTTTTTAAAAAATTCACTTGTCACCCATGTGACGCTGACACGATGCCAAATCAGCACCGGTAAGCCACATCATCGGTGATGTGTCAATTTCGGTGATGAAGGATCATTTCTTTTTAAAAAAAAAAAAATAATTGCATGACTATTTGCATATCGAGTTTATTTATAATTCTAAAATGATAATGGAAGTCAAAAGACTAAAAACAGTTTAACCAGAATTTTAAGAACCCAGAGCCTACAATCCCTTCCAAAATATTATCCAACAAATATAATACTTATATAATATAGGATGTAGGGTAAATTATATAACACTTTATTGTAATTTAGTAAAAATGTATAAAAACACCACGTTGTTTTATTTATGCTCTGAAACTCTTTTGTGTTAATGTAAAGTTTGCACGAAATACTTTTTTCGTCAAAAATTGATATTTGATTGTAAATAAAATAAATAAAATATCTTAAATAATTTTTTTAATAAAATAAATAAATTATTAATCCTTCATTTTATAGTTTTTTAGACAAACTATTATCTAATTTTTATAAAAAAAACTATAAAAACAAATGATTGATCAATTATTTGTTTATTTATTTTATTCAAAATATTTTTTAAAGATATTTTACGTGTTTTATTTATATAAAACTTGCATAAGTTATGTGTCTTTATTTAGAACCAAACATCAGTTTTGAACAAATGAAATATTTTGTGCAAACTTTTCAATTAACACAATAGAATTTCATTAACAAATAAAATACAAAGTGTTTTGTATATTTGTACGGAAATACAAAGTGTTATATAATTTACTCTATAGTGCATACAAACTCACATAGTATATAATATAGATATTCACATTCAATAATTTGAACGCACAAAATATTATTATTTTTTATATTACTAATGTTATCGTACCTAACACTAATAAAACTAAAAAAAAAGTACTTTCTCAAAATAGAACTCATTTATAATATTTTTTTTCTTTTTCCTTTCTAAATAAATATATTTATAGATATTTAAAATTTCATAACTTTTATAAAGCTTATTGATATTAATCATATATAAATAAATATTATATATAATCTTATTTTATTTTTTACAAAATAACATATTTATTTATATATATTTTACTAAAATATAATATTTAAACCACTTTCAAGCATATTCTAAATTTAAATTAATCAAATATACTACATTATATTTGAAATTCATCTCCAATACCATCTCATTGATCTTATTGTAAATAGGTCCTTCTAATTTTCATTTTTGGGTCGGAAAAGGTTTACGGCTAACTCAAAATCAAGTTCTCATCTTTACATTTTGTTCAGGGGATTGGATTGGATTTACATTATTTATTCAATTTTTTTTTTCCCAAAAACATCAAATCAAACACCTATTTTTCATTTGTTATATTATACTAAAAATCAATTTTACATTCAAAATATCACATCAACACATATTTATATCACATCATACAACTATTCAAATTCAAAATTTTTACTATTCAAATCCCTACTCAAAATCCAAACCCCCAAACAAACACACCCTTTGTATATTTTCCGGCCATCTTGCTCTACTACGCCTTTCCAATAGCGATGCTCCCTTGATTGATTGTTGTCGTATTATCTCTGGGGATACCACAAGCCATATTTCATTATGCAAAATAGGCGATTCTTTGACACAACTAGGCGTTTTTTTTTTTTTTATAAAAAATTCCACTTCAGTTTCGTATATATGTTTAACTATATATATAATATTTTCAAGAATATATGTCATTTTGATTTTTTTTACTATACTTTTTTTTATAAAAAAAATATACTACTGATTAGGGTCCGTTTGGATTGACTTAAAAAATAAAGAGAAGCCAGAAGCAGAAGCAGTTCGATTTTGTGTTTGGATAAATCATTATAAAAGCAGTTTTTCGAAAAAAAACTGTTTGGACGTTATATAGTTATATAGTTGAAATTGCTTTTAAACTGTTAAAATTATTTAAAAGGACATGCGGTTAATATAATAGTATTTTTCTATAACATTTTTATAATTTAATTTAAATTTTATTTAAAGATTTTAAATTAAAGTATAAAAATTGTACTTTTAAATTTTGATTATTTATATTTTAAAATTTTAATTTAAGGATAATATATCGATTAAACATAAAATTACAATATAATATTAAATAATTTGTATTTTATAATTTATTTTAAAATTTATAAATTATATTTAGTAATTTAAGTATAATTAAAAATTTTATATACTCTTATTTAAATTTTAAATTTTAATCCAAATATAATACATAAATTAACAATAATAAATTAATTATATTTTTTAATTTTTATTAAAATATAATATATATAAGTTATTTATTTTTATATTATATTATATTAACTTATTATATTTATTATTATTATTATTATTATTATTATTATTATTATTATTATTATTATTATTATTATTATTATTATTATTAAGGATAAATCAGTAATTTTAAATGAAAAATGCTTATGCTTATTTCAGAAGCTACCCCTATGAGCTTCTGAAAAAAGCACTTTTCAACTTAAAAAACCAATGCAAACAGGTGCAAATTGCTTTTTTTTTTTTAGAAGTAGAAGCCAAAAGCTCCTGCCAGAAGCCAATCCAAAGGGGCCTTAATCTCATAATATATTATGTCCAATTAATAGTTAAATACAAAACACACACAAATCAAACAAAGTTTAACACTACTTTGATTCTTTGAATAAAAAAAACTATATTCAACATTGTTGATCTTTGATGTTTTGGATGGACCTATAGAACGATGTCATCAATGGAAATCCGTCCATTCTATCGCATAAGCACTTGTGATCGAATTGAGAGAAGGGATTTAGCCATGTGACTGGTAAGCATTGTGGTAGAGCCAGAGTTATTTCATCGAGTGGGTTGAAAATTTTCGTTAAGTTCGTTCAGACATCATTATCATTTTCAACCGAATCAATGATAAAAATATGTATCTTGACATATTCAATCAACACAAAAATGATAGTTCAATAAAAAAAAATCTCTGAATCTGGCCAGGACATACAATCTATGTAGTTGGCAACATAATCGACACATACAACGAGAATAATTGCTCGAGGGGCTTAAGTTCCCCCGGACCCCATGTAGTTCTGTCACTATGCAAGTGTGAGAGCGAAAAATCCGAGTAAAAGAACATTGTATACATTTGGGATTACTTTTATTGTAAGTTCAAATTATTATTGTGCCTAGACTATGTTGCTGAATTGAGTTACCAACTTCTTATATATGTCTCATGATTCATTGTGTTGGTAGATGTGTGTGCCCCGAAAATCATATCAAGTATTAAAAAATTTAATTTTATATGTGAAACTTTCAGGTCTTTTCTGTCATACATGGTTTGTCTAGTGTGATTTGTCTTGTCGGACCAAGTTTGCAGACAATTAAGTTTAACCGAATATTTACCTAAAATGCATTCGTCGAGTAGTAGATGTGAATTCCCACATTATATGAAAAAAACTAATCTTACATGTGATATATAGTCTTAGTACCATTAGATCTACAATAATTAGAAAATTGAGGTGTGAATGATAATAACCATAAATATATTTTAAATAAATCAAAGAATTTTGTCGATTTTAATTTATATATATATATATTCATATTCAAAGATCTGTTATTCGAATTTGAATATTGATCATTATTAATCAAATACAAATTTTAAATTGTTACATTTGATTCAACACTTATAAATATATTGTTTGACATAAAATGTTTTTTTTTTTTTTTTTAAAAAAAGTAATTCACACATCTACTTAGGCTTCATTTGATTTGGCTTTTATGAAGGAGTTTTAACTTCTACTTCTAAAAAATTATTTTATGAATATTTGTATTGATTTATGTACTAAAATTAAAATAAGTTTTGAAACTGAAAGTACCTTAAAGATGAACTTCTGATATAAGCAAAAATATATTTCAGTTAAAATTATATTTTTATTCTTAATAATAATAATAATAATAATAATAATAATATAAAAATAGTTATTTTATATTTTAATAAAATTTAAAAATATAATTTGTAGTTTTATTCTTATTTTACATATTATACTTAAATTAAAATTAAAATGCTAAATTTAAAAATATAAATTTTTAATTGTACTAAAACCTTAAAATTATCAAATATAATTAATAAAATTTTAAAATAAATTATAAAAATACAAATAGTTTAACATTGGATTGCATTGTTTTAATTTCATCTTTTTTTTTAAAAAAAAGTTAAAATATAATTACCAAATTCAAAAATATTTCTATATTATATAATTTAATTTTTTAAATATAATTAATAAAATTTAAAATAAATTATGAAGGTTCTATAAAAATATAATTATATTAACAACATATTTTTAAAAGTAATTTTCACAGTTCAAAATTATTTTAAATTTTATTATATCCAAACACTTTTTTCAA